CTTCTTAAATATAAATAAACTTGATCAAATATATGTCTTGAAGTAAATGCTAGACAAAATATAAAAGCATCCTAATAAATTTAAATATTAATAAGATAATTTATTGATTTTCTCCATTGGTTGTGCTAAATCAATACTTAGTTTTGGAGGTTTATAATAGTTTTGTAGTTAGCTTCTTCCAAAGGGTATACGCTTAATTGTTGGAACTATTTTTTCCAAAAGTTTATAGGTAGTAAAATATCAAAAATATGATTTTGAAAGTGGTTAATTGTTGAAACTGGTTGATCACAAATATGAGAATGAAAATAATATAACTTTGCATAGGTTTCAAGATATAGCAAAAAAGAACTCACCTCACGATGGCAAATAAAAAAAAAAAGTAAAAGATAGCCCATTAAAATTTGAGAATTTTTATTTTTTTTCTGTAGGTAAAAATGATGTATAAAAACACAAATAAACGTAGAAACATCATTCATTCCCTCTCCACCTCAAATTCATAAAAGGATTCCCCATAAATTAGTTAAAAAAAGCGACCTGAACTATTTATATGATGAGGAACTTAAAAAAGTCTAAAAACCAAATCCAAAAAAGTATATTCTTGAAACCCCGAAAACAAAAAAAGAAACGTGCTTCATTTGCAAATAAAAATAATAATAATAATAATAATAATAATAATAATAATAATAATAATTGGTCAACTGGGAGTATGAAACAAAATCAAAAGCAATTAAACAAAGAAAAAACACACTTTACAATTGGCCATATACGAAAAAAAACCTGAGACTCCATAATTAAAAAAAGAAAACCACACTAATTGAATGAAACATAAAAAAAAAAAAAACACACTTTGTAACAAAAACCCAATCAATCAATTCAATCCAAACATAACTAAAATCATACAAAAATTTTAGGCTAACTAACCAAATAAGAAATCACATCATACTACTTGACAACGGCTACGGTAGCTATAACGGATGGACGCATAAAAATAATAGTAATAACACTATTCTTGAACGGGAAAAACAAAAAATAATAAAAGCCAAACCAATGATCTGTGGAAATAAAATCATTTAAATTTTAATACCTGCAATGGCACCACCACAACGGCCGAAGCAAGATCAATGAGAATTTTTTTTTTTCCTTTGTGTTTATATAGAGAGGTAAAGAGAATATTTTTTGAAGTTGAAATTTTATCCGATTAAGATGTAGTTGATCATCACTAATGAAAAGATTGAATATGCTAATAGGAAAGGAGTATATTTCACCGCATATTCGCAATTGATGATTGATGAGGAATTTTTTTTTTTTAATTGTGGAGAAGGGATTGATTAAGGTGTCGATTATCGTGGAGATGGGAATGAAGATTTGGGTTTTTTATGAACCCGTGATTTTTTTTTGTTTGTTTTGACGAAAATAAGAGGTAGAAGTGAATTTAGACTACATTTGCCTTTTAAATTTAGGAGATGTGGTAATAGAAATTTATTTTAAAAATATGATATGGAAATGCCACATGGCAAATGATGGTGCTTTCTCTTAAGTGTGGTTTTTGTTTCTAATATAGTAAGATATATATATATATATATATGTATATATATCAATAGAAGGATTTAATAGGACAACTAGATGCTCAACCTGGGCGGTTATCTGGGTGCCGTTTAATATATTAATTTGTAACTAAAAAGAGAACTAATATGCTCATTGTTTTAAAGAAATAGTTAATACTAAGTTTTAATGTTTGTATCACTTTTAGTATAAAAATGTAATTTTGTACTTGTTGTGAATAAATCCTGGTTCGATCCTTATCAGGATTTTGGAGTTTTGACTCAATTGACAAAATAATATGTTTCATTCAAGAAAATTGGATCGAATATAAGAATACAGCTTAATGAATACTCCTTAGGCGCCCTCTTTACAGTAACACCTTGATGATACCGAAATGCCTCGTTTTGTGGTTCGTCTCTTCTTCTCGCCTTATCTCATCAATCGGCTTGACGACGGCCGAAATCCCGTTGTGCACTTTCTTTTATCTTCTCACTTGTGTTGCCGCTGTTGGATTCACATTTAGACCTTTTACTGATTGATGAAAGCTGGTGATTTATATATATATTTTTTATTTTTAATCTTGATGACTGATGAAGATTGGAGATTCGACATATTTTTTTGTTATTTTGAATAATGAGATTATATTGGTTGAGAGATTTTAAAAATTTTGGATTAGATGACATTAATTAGCATTCTATTTTACCATATTTGGAGAATGGAGAAGATGAGAACATATGTTAATTTTTTAATGAACATGAAACGACGTAGTATTGAACTAAGTAGTTTAGGCGGGATATTATGTTTTGTGGAGATACTGCATTGGCATAAGTAACCGTTGCTTTCAAGAGGTAAAAAATAATTTTTAATTAACATGAAATGACGTAGTATTGAACTAAGTAATTTAGGCGGGAATTATATTTCGTGGAGATGTGTTGGCAAAAGTGGGGGCTGCTCTCAAGAGATAAATAATGATGTGTTTTCTTTGGGAGTTAAAACGGGATATTTTCTTTTAATTTGTGTATATATTTAGTTTTCTTTGGATAAACAACAATTCTTCTTCTATAATAAAAACTTAATAGTGCGACTAAAATAATACTAACTTTTTCTGTTTCTCAAGTTTTTTTCATAGCCTATTAATTTTTTTTCTAATACAAAATTCACACACACACACACACACACACATGTATATACTAGTGATGTCTGGTCACGCATTGCGCGACCCTGGCCCAATATATCTGTACATCTTAGAAATATTTGTATCTGAAAAAAAAATATTTTGTATTTAGCTCGATATATTTTAGAAATGTTTGAAAATTTTAGAAATATTTTATAAGTGTGATCATAGAAATGTTTGTATTTGGCATAAAAAGAAATTGTATTTGACCGGTACGTTTTAGAAATGTTTGAAGATTTTAGAAATATTTTATAAGTGTCACTTCTTAAATATAAATAAACTTGATCAAATATATGTCTTGAATTAAATGCTAGACAGAATATAAAAGCATCCTAATAAGTTTAAATATTAGTAAGATAATTTATTGATGTTCTCCGGTTGTGCCAAATCAATACATAGTTTTGGAGATTTATAATAGCTTTGTAGTAAGCTTCCTCCCAAGGGTATATGCTTAATTGTTAAAACTATTTCTTCCAAAAGTTTATAAGTAGTAAAATATCAAAAATATGATTTTGAAACTGGTTAATCACAAATATGAGAATGAAAATAATGTAAATGCATAGGTTTGAAGTTATACCAAAAATGAATTCACCTCACCATGGCAAATAAAAAAAAAATAAAGTAAAAGATAGCCCATTTAAAATTGAGAAATTTATTTTTTTTCTATATGTAAAAATGTTGTATAAAAATACAAATAAACGTAGAAACATCATGCTTTCCTTCTCCGCCTCAAATTCATAAAAGGCTTCATCAGATATTAGTTAGAAGAAGTGACCTGAACTATTTAGATGATGAGAAACTAAAAAAGGTCTAAAAACCAAAATTCAAAAAGTATATTCTTGAAAGCTCGAACACAAAAAAAAAACGCGCTTTATTTGCAAATAAAATAAAATAATAATAATAATAATTGGTCAACTGGGAGTATGAAACAAAATAAAAAACAATTAAACAAAGAAAAAACACACTTCGTAACTGACAATATACGAAAAAAAACTGAGACTCCATAATTATAAAAAAAAAACTACTCTAATTGAATGAAACATTAAAAAGAAATTTAAAAAACCACACTTTGTAACAAAAACTCAATTAATCAATTCAATCCAAACAGAACTAAAATCATACAAAACTTGTAGGCTAACTAACTATATAAGAAATCACATCATATTACCTGACAACGGCTACGGTAGCTGTAACAGATGGAGGCATAAAAATAATAGTAATAATACTATTCTTGAATGGGAAAAACAAAAAATAATAAAAGCCAAACAAATGATCTGTGGAAATAAAATCATTTAAATTTTAATACTTGTAATTGCACCACCACAACGGCCGAAGCAAGATCAATGAGAATTTTTTTTTCCTTTGTGTTTATATAGAAAGGTAAAGAGAATATTTTTTGAAGTCGAAATTTTATCTCATCAGGATGTAGTTGATCATCACTAATGAAAAGATTGAACATACTAATAGAAAATAAGTATATTTCACAACATATTCTCAATCGATGATTGATGAGGAATTTGTTTTTTTTTTTTTTTATTGTGGAGAAGAGATTGATTAGGGAGTCGATTGTGGAGATGGGGATGAGGATTTGAGTTTTTTTATGAACCCATCTTTTTTTTTGTTTTGACAAAAATAGGAGGTGGAGGTGGATTTGGACTGCATTTGTCTTTTAAGTCTAGGAGATGTGAAAATAAAGATTTATTTTAAAAATATGATGTGGAAATGCCACATGACAAATGGTGGTGCTTTCTCTTAAGTGTGGTTTTTGTTTCTAATATAGTAAGATATATTTTTTGGTTTTAAAAAGGAAACAACTATAACAAACTACACTAATTTCAGGCAGTTTATTAAAATTGGACAAGCAAATAAATTAAATGGGAGAAATATCAAGGACGATTTCATAATTTACGAATCTCTATAGGTAGCTAGCAATCTAGAGAGCGCATTTCCGCCTGAAAAAAGTTTATTTTATACATCTACCGGGTTTCCGTTAACGTGCAGCAGCTAATAATAGTACTATTTTTACAGCGAAGCAAACCGGCGGCGAACGCCGCACGCGGTGGCAGAAACCCAATAAACACCGATTCAGTAAATTCACCACTCCACCGAGTCTCGCAACTCAAGATTCGGTTGAGCTGTTGACTAGGGTTCTTCCGATTTGGCATGAACCCAGAATATCATTTGATGCTTTCCTAATTTTATTTTATTAAAATCAGATATAAGAAGAAAAAATATAAAATCCCACCAGCTCCTTTTTGTCAGCTCTCACTTTGTACAGCCAGCCATGGAGCCGTCCTTTGTTCCCGATAGTCTTGACATCTTTGAAATTTATCGACGATATTGCGGTAATTTTTCCCTCCCATTCTTCTGATTCTCTATATCGTATTGTTTCTTTCTTTTCTTTTCTTTTCTTTTTAATCTTCCTCTTTAATTGAGTAATTCTATCATAGTTCATCTATCTGTTTAAAGATTGGATTTTTACTGGTAGATGTTTTCTGAATTTCTTGTATTCTGAATGGGAATGGTTGAGGGCAGAATCTGATGTTGAGATTAATCTTAATATAGTGGCAATACAATGCAAATCCCTTGCAATTTTAGCTCGTTCTTTTAAGAAAGTTGAAAGTGGCCAGGATTGGTACAATCATGTACGATTGTATTCGACGTCACATAAGTATGAAAACTGTCTAGACTTGTATCAGGGACAAGGAAAAGCATTATCTTGGCTGGAATAGTATAATCTTGCATTGGGACGTTATGGGAAAATATTTCTTTATTGCTCACATATGGGACTGTTTGTTGATTTTAATCTTCTTACCTTGACAAATTTTGATCTTTAGATACAGAATCGCCCAAGAATGGGGATCTGTTTAGGATTACTGGTAGAGACTGGTAGTGTTTGGATAAATCAGGACAGTGGTTAGCTGAGTTTCAGTTTTAGAAGCAACCTGATATTATCCCTAAGTTTTAAAGCCCTTGCAAAACAAGATTTGAAAAAACTACGATTAATCATTGTTCCGCAAGGCTCAATCGGCTAATGGATCCTATCCTGTTATCTGTGATTTGTGAAACCCGATATCCTTATCTGCAATTATGCTTTTTGAGTAGTTCCTTGCCATGATTTACCTTTCAGTTTTGAGTTAGCAATAATCATTATGAATGCATTTTGATGTATCCAAAGCTCTTTGATGCACATGCTTGAGTTAAACCATCTAAAGTGTATTTCGCTCAACCTCCAATTTATTAGGGGTAATTGTTCTTTCTGATATTTGTTTGGTATAGCTGTTTGTTCTTTCTATTTAAGTTTGTAGTTAGTTCGAATCCATAGCATTGACTGACTGTTTTCTGCCCTATTTCTTCCCGATCTTAGTGGTGTCTCATGATCACTAAATATAAAGGATGCTCTTATCAGTAGTTCTATTAATCTTGCAATTTCCATGTGGAACCTTTGTCAATTCCCTCATATTTTGATCCATTTTATTGGAGGGTTTCTCCCCCCCCAGAATATAACTCCATTCACGTTCATATTCTGGCATGGCTGGCCCTAATTCCGTCTAATAGAGGCGGAGTGTTTCAATTTAGGTTCACAGCTGTTGTGCTATTTGGAATTAGACAGAGGTTGGGTTAGTTTAGGTTGGCAGCTAGTGTAATAATTGTAGCACTGGTCATCAGGCAAGATATAAATACAATTGAAACAGTAATTTCAAATGGTTCCTCAAGCAACATATAGACTGAAAGGAGCATGTTAGGCAATAAGTTTGAGTTAGCTGAACACATTTGGACCAATAGAGAAAGTTTTTGCTTATGTCATTAGAAGAAACTATACAATTTTTTTTAATACCTTGTTTGCTAGTAAAAGCTTATGGTGTCCTACTCTCCTCCCAGTTTAAGCTTCATAATGGGAGCTCAGCATTCCTGTTCTTTATGCGTCTAGTTTGACTCTTGTTTGTTTAAACCTCGCGATGGTCAAGGTTGTGTTCTTTGTTGTGCTTAGTAATAAGGTGGCCTTATTTAGTTTCTATATTTACTTGCTGTATGAAGAAGATTGTATCTAATGCATATATTTATGTTAGGTTCTGGGATGCATGCGTTTGTCTGATGATGTTGATAATCAATCTAATCTTGTTAACCTCACTATAAAGATCTTAAATGTGATTTTTGAATGTTACTTCTTTTGCTAACAATGATTAAAGACCAAACTTTGATGGAATTGCAGATATTATGTCGGGGTTATACAATTTTGGGAGCAAAGGTCAGTTACCAAATAAGGAGTATCGTAATGGTGGACACATAAGAGAGGCATTGACACAGCTATTAACATTAGTGGAATCAAGACCACAGGCAAGGTATGTGCATCACCTGGGAAGTTAGGTTGATGGAATAAATTTATGAATAGAAAATCTTGTCCATGTTTCATCCAATAAAATATGCATGATATGGTTTCTTTATGTTCATATGGTATAATGGAGCTAATTGTTGTCTTTCTGTGATCAGATACTCTATCATGGAAGAAATATACATACTTATGATGAGGTTAGACTTACGGGTAAGCTTTCCTTTTATAACAGATATTAAAGGAATTTTTCATTTACTATTTTCGGTTTCATTTACTTATGAAATGGGATTTTTTTTTCCTTGACCTTGTACAGTAAATATTTTCCTGAAATAGGGAGGATACTCATAGACAAGCGCTTTTATCACAGTCCTTTCCTTTTTGGCCTTAGCGTTATAAAATGAGCTGGATCCTTTATTTTACATTTCTCCTTGTACATATTGCTGTGTTGAGGTCGTTTTCACCTTTCTGTGAATTCATTATTAACTCTCTTTCTCAATCTTCCTTTTATGCAGGCAGATTTTTCAGAGTTTTCGCGTTTTTATGATTTTGTTTTCTTCATTTGTCGAGAAAATGGTCAAAAGAACATCAGTAAGTCAATATATACTAAAGAAAATTCTTGGTCTTTGATGTGCATTTCCATGACCTTCTACCGATTGGAGTCCGAATGTCAAACTCTTATGCCTCTTTTATATTTTTATTATCTGCAGCTGTCAGCCGGGCTGTCATGGCGTGGAGATTAGTTTTGGCTGGTAGGTTCCGACTTCTCAATGACTGGTGCAACTTCATTGAGGTAATAACTTCTTGCATGGATACATTACATTGGTAATATTAGTGTTCCAACTGTCATGTTAATGTTGATATTATGTAGGAAAATCAGCGACATAATATATCTGAGGACACCTGGAGGCAAGTTTTGGCCTTCAGCCGATGTGTACAAGATAATCTTGAAGGTTATGACCCTGAAGGTATTTTTCTAATTGATGGTCATCATTTTGGGTCTTCAAATACCTTGCTTAGGGGAAAAAAATATCTCTCCCTGTTAAAGTATGTTGATGTCACTGCATTTATCGTAGCGAGGGGTCTGTATTTGTATCAGATTCAGGGTCATCCATCTTCAACTGTCTCTTTATTGTTGACTGGGTTGTTGTGTTCTCTTGCAGGAGCCTGGCCTATATTAATTGATGAGTTTGTCGAGCACATGTACAGGTTTGTCTCCAATTCTTCTCACAGGGGCTGTACAAGATTCTTTTACATTTGTATCATTGTGAAGTTTATACAATCCATGTGCTGTGGGTCTTTCAAGCAAGTTCATTATAACAGCTGATGAGATGTATGTGATCTTCCTGTGAAAGTCATACACGACCTTTAAATTTGCCTAGAGGCCGAAACTGAACTTTTGGGAATACTATTTTTTTTTATGATATAAAAACTGGACAATTATTGGTTCGTGTGACTAAGGTGATGTGAGGTTCTCAAGTGGCTTGACTTATGTTCACTTTGAAGTGGTGACCTCATTGGGAATATTTGCGCTGCACATCATCATATTAAATGAATTTCCTTCTTTATGATAGCTTAGTTATATGCGAAAATGAGTTCATCCCAAACTAAAAAATGAAGTGATACACTTTATTTTGTTTGATTGTGAAAATTATAGAACTTGCATATATATGGCCTGGTCTTCTGGAAAGTGACATGCCATGATCGTGTCTTATATTGCAGAGTGAGGAATAATGCTCGAAGTTCATTTTGCAGCTGCAATGACATTGATGCACAACCGGTTGAGGATTCTCTGACTGGTATTATAAATTGCATTTGTAGATCATTGCCATTTGTTCACATTCAGAGATGCATTTTGTTTATCTCCACTAATGTTTAATCATGCAGGTCTAGAAAGGCCACCCGGAATGAAGAGGAAATCTTATGCCAATGTGCAAAATTATCTCGAATCCTCAGAGGAATACTCTGATTCTAACGGCATAAGAAATTCAAAGAGGGTGAAAATGGATTCTAATGACATATCTATGAATTGTGACGGGAATGGCTGTGGAAGTGTGACGGATGATTGTATGGAAATGACTAAGCAAAGCAACCCAGTTTGTTGTACCAAGTCACCTTGTGCTGTTGAAGGCTGCTTGTCCAAGGGGTTTGCGGGGCTTTTCTCTTTTCGGCCTTGTTTGCAGTATAGGCGTGACAGGGAAGTATCCTCAACATAAATTATTGGAGAGGAACAAGGTTCATTGGGTGTCAACCATATCACTTAGTCATAGGTATAAGAAGATTTTAAATTCTTTGGAATATAAAATTCTGTTGGAAGCCCTGGTGTTTTCCTATTTTTTCACATGTGATTAGTAATAGGCTTCCCCCACCCCCCCGTTTTTGGGGGATGAATGATGAGTAATATTTTGTACAACTATTAACATTGTTTTGGTTGTAGAATTCAATAAAGATGAAATGGATGGAATTTGACTTTGTTTACTGATGGATGATGGATCATACAAGAACATAGGGGAAAGATGGAATTCAGAAACTCAGGGTTTCAGCATTATTATATTATGAAGCTAAATACTATTGATTACATACTTACAGAACATCAGAATCTACAAGCAAAAAGAGTTCCCAAAAAAAAAAAAAAAAACACGAAGAAGAAGAAAGTAATGCCGTCATATCAGCCAAAGAGTAAGCAAAAAGTTTGCAAAAAGTTCGGCAAAAGTTTTGCCAGGTATTTGGCCGAATCTCTTTCCAAAACGCTTGTCAAGCTTATTCTCGAAGGTCAATTTTGTCGAATCCCACATTCCCAAGGCTTCCAAGTAGGAAACCATATATGAAGATTCCCTTTCATTGGACTTTTAAGCTCTATACTGGCATAACTAGACAAATGTGGATCTCTGTATCCGAGTTCTATGTATCACCATTGATACTTGGCAGCAATAAGCACTTCCTCGTACTTCTGAGCAGCATTATCCCAGCTCAAATTTTGCATCATACCGCGTCTCTGTATGCCTTCCCAGCTCTTTTTGTACTCGCGATAAGTCAGTAAACAGTTACCTAATGCGTGGATAAGCCGACCAGCCTCTGCCCGATCAAATGTCCATCCAAGGCCAGTTTCTTCATAAGGATTGAAAGGCTGCACAGTATCCCTTAGACCCCCTACAGCATGAACAACTGGAACGGTGCCATAGGACATAGCATAAAGTTGATTCAATCCACAAGGCTCAAATCTTGACGGCATCAGCAATATGTCTGCACCAGCAGTTATCCTATGGGCTGTCTTTACGGAGAAACCCACCCAACCCCTGACTTTGTCGTTGTATTGTCCTTCAAAAGTCCGAAGCATCTGTTCAAGGTCAGATCTACCCGTACCCAACATGACCAACTGTACATCCTGGCCCATCATCCAAGGAATCGCCTCAGCTATGAGATCAACACCTTTCTGGTGATCAAGCCTTCCAATAAAACCTATCAGTGGGACGTCTGCACGAATCGGCAAACCTAATTCCTTTTGCAATGCTGCTTTGCACTGGGGTTTACCGGTCTGAAGGGTATCTAAAGAGTAATTACAATAGCCATCAGACTGAAGATAAACGTCCAACTCAGGGTTCCAGTCCTTTGTATCAATCCCATTAACAATACCCGCAAGTTTCCAGTCATTCTCATTGATAATTCCATGTAGGCCCCAACCACCTTCAGCAGTTTTCAATTCCCAGGAATATCCATGACTAACAGTTGCAATACGATCGGCCATCTTTAAACCTGCTGCAAATATGTTGAAGTGTTCACCTCCTACAGGATCATATAACTTGAAAAGATCCAAGTAGTGCGGAGGAAGATCCACATATGAGAAGTCATCCACAGGACCACGACCCTGGAGATGCAGAGATAACAAATTGACGGTGAAGATATATAGTTCACCGAATAAAATAGTTCACACATAGGAGCTCGAGTTTGTTAAAGTAAGCACTTGCAGCCCTTTGGCTTGCAAGAGTCATAACATACTAGAAACAGATCAGGGCAGAAGATCATTATGAATGATGAAACCTGGGCTTGCTATGAGGTTGATGATGAGGAACAAACCTGGTGAGCTATGTTATGAATCACAAGAACCGATCTCGTGTATTTCATCAATCCATGGTCTCGATAATATGCCTTGAGATACACAGGAAGTAAAGCTGTGTGCCAATCATTTGCTATGAAAACCAAATTTCCATCTCCATAGCAGATCCCACCACAAGGAACATACCAAGGAATCTGAATAACATTTCAAAATTTCAGATCCATCAGACTAGAGAAGGGAAACTAGGGAAAATTTCAGATCATTCAGAGTAGATCAATCAAAGATAAAAAGGGAAAATACGCTTCAAAAAAAAAATAAAAAGGTTATATTGAACTTCAGTAGTACGACAGCACGACTTAAATTAGAGCAAAAAGAGAGCATTACCAAAATTCACGAATGGCATTTTGGATACACTGTTAAATTATGAACCTTTTCAGCTATTATAGAAGGAACTAGTATAATAGCTTAAAGCATTATTAGAGATATTTATTATGATCAATATTGACAGTCACGTGAAAAGCTAACTCGCAGCGTTACATGATTGTTTTCTACTCTTACTGTCCTGATCAGTAGCCATCTTTTCTATAACCAATTATGGTTGCAGGACAGCCTTCAACTTTACCACAAGTCGAAAGTTGACTACTCAGGAATTTCCAAATGCTTATTTTAAAAGCCTGGTGTTGTGCCTACCTCAACAGCAGCTTTGCAAAACAGAACCATGCGCTTCAGAATATCCTGGAACATTCAGTAGTAAAAAAATCAACACGAATAACGTTAAAACACCAATTGGAAAAATGAAACCACTAGTTGATGCCTTTGTTCTGAAATTAATGTACATATGGAAAGTTGAAAAAGAATATTATTGTCACCAAGCAAACTGTACACTGAAACACATATATACAAGATATTCTTAAGCAATGGTGTTATGGAAAGTTGCAGGAAAATGGAACCACAGACGCCATCTGCCAGTAAACAGAACTTCCACTTCTAATAAACAAAGGGTAAAAAGAGTGAACTTCAAGACAAAAAAGGGGTCCACCTACCACACGATTGCCTCCATATATATTCTTTTCAATGTGTCGGAAAATCGGGGAGTCCACGAATACAAAGTCTACACCATCAATAAAGGCCTGAAAGTAATTCACCTCCATATCCTACAATTTTTTGGTGGAAGAAAAATGATGTCATGAACCTCCACCAGAGAAGATAAATTGTAGTAGTTCTTTCAGATATTACCTGACCATCTACCCGATACCTTTTCCGAACCCCTGTGTCCTGAGCTTCGGCATAATCACCGTACCGAGGGACGACCACCTGCAGGTTTCAGAAACAAAAGATACTTTCCATTATATGATTCTTTAACCAAAACCACATCACTCATCTGTTATTTGCTTACTGATGTGGAAGCAGAAGGTTTTCACCCAGACAAGGATACGCTATGTTTATTAATTTCCACAGTACAGAAAGGACTATATAAGGATCTTTGTATAGCATCAGGAGGATGCCATCTAGAATTAGCCATGGGTTTTGAAAAGTTTCAATGAGATTTTACCATAACTCTGTGCCCACGGCGAGCCAAAGCCTTGGGTAAAGCTCCAGCAACATCAGCAAGTCCACCTAAGTTAATAGTAACATAGAAGTGGTACGCTTAGAGACAATGAAAGGATGATAGTGCAGGAACTCATGCTTGCATTTCAATAAACAATCACGTATTACTGCATATCGGAGTTTCATTATATACAATTAATACGCTTTCAAACTTCAGAATTAGAGATACTTTAGTTTAGTCTGATATTTAGGAGGAGAGGAAAACTACAAATATGAATCATGCAGGCTAATCAGTTCTTCCAATAACAATGAAGCCCGTCACAAATTCTTTCAGACTTTCCTTATCAAATAAATGCTCAATTTACGAGATTATAAGTAGAATAGTCCTCCAATTCTAAACAGGGAAAATATCCATGGGTGCTAGAACAAATCAGTGGCAAAAAACCAATGCAATGGGAATAAGCTACAAACAGCAACAACCATGGCTCATTATTAATCTATCTTAAAACAGGGTTTAACGGGTTTACCAGTTTTAATCCATGGGGCACATTCCGCAGCTACCACGATTACATTCATCACATTCACCCCAGCAAGTGGAGGGGGTTTTGCTTCTTCTTCCACAATATCTTCCTTCTGAGCAATCACTTTCTGTGGACCAGATTCCTTAACACTGTCCTGCTTCGTATCAGTCAGCGGAAAACCTGCACTGGATGGCCACAATTTCATGGCCGGCACTTCTTTTAATTGTTTGTCGATGCTGACGCCTAATGAACTCTTAAAATAATTCACGGTTGTTGGTGAATTGACCCTCGGTTTAGTTGTTGTGGATGACTCTTGCTGAGCAGAAACTTCACCATAAGATTGAGATCTTTCTTTATTAGAGTCTTTTAACTGTCCGTTGGAACTTGCATTTGAATAAGCCTCTTTTGGAGGCAAGACCTTTCCGGAAGCCTTCACGTCTCCACCTGTTGGCATGTTGTCTTTCACCTCAATGGGACTGGACTGGGTACTCTTGGTTGGAAATGTATCATTCCTAAATGCCTCATCTTGTTTGTTAGCAGTACCCGATGGCTCATCAACACTTGACCCAGTTCCATCAGCATCCTGGTTGATAATGCTACTTCTTATGGAGGAAACTATATTTTTCCTTTCTGCTATCTGCAAGACATAGCAAAGCCCCAATAAACTAATACATACAGAAACAATTAGATGATCACACACTGAAGATGATCAGAGAACCAAAACAGAAATATTCAGCCAAAAAATTTGGAAGCCTTAATATTCTATGCTTCATTCTTCACACACGATACAAGGAACACGTAACCGAATAGATAGCTGAATATTAAAGAAATGCTTTCATTCGAATCCAGTTCATAGTCTTTTCAAACAGCTAAACCCCAAAACTCTTTGGAGTCGATATTTCGCATCCAGGCATTGTAATTTACACTAAGAAGAAAGAGAACATAAAGAGATGAAACGAATTCCTTATATAAAATGGAATCATTCTGACCTGATTAAGCAAAGTCTTCTGCATAGCCAACACTTTTTTACTCTTCTCTATGGTGGCTTGCAAAGCATCATCTGGGTCATCCCCATTTTCAGTTTCTCCAGAATCACCGGTCGTTGCGCTAATGCGCTTAATCACCAACTTCCTTGTCACTCTGCAGCCCCGAGACAAAGACAGCCTCCCAACACCTTCACTCAAAACACCATAACTGGGTAACCTAGGACGCCCGAGGTTTCCACCACGGAAGATAATCGGACTATCTATGGCAACATTCTCCATTGCAAAAGAAAAGGACCCCATTGAAGCATTCACGGTGCTCGACGATTTGATTTGTCAGACAAGGATTTTCAAGACTCAATTTTGATCGATACCCAGTTCGTGAAAATCAAAATGAATGAGAACCCAGAAGTTTTTTGTTCCCTATAATTGACACTGAGACTAATAAATTCGAAGCTTAAATAGGTATGGTGTATTTGAGGAGTTTAGTTTGAAATGGAAATGTAAAGGAACAGTCGGTAGAAAACCATGAAAAGGCCATCAAGAATGTTGATCAGGGAATAGGGCCCACAGAAATGGAGAATCATCAGAAAAATCGAATCGAAGAGAGTGTTTTTGATTTTTTGAGGTTTAGATTGAGTAGGAGACTTGGAGCTGTACTACCAGTCTAAATACTAAGCTGGAAATAAAAATCCGAAATGTGGAGCAGATTTCTTTTATTTCTGGGAAGAGCTTATAAAGTTGGGTGGTTATGGCTGCAAATGGGCCTACTTTGGAAGTTTGTATGACTACGGGCTTTTGGCCTTTTGGATGTATTTTAGTACAAAGATTTCCCAACGAAATAACACGTGAATTTTATGCCAAAATCACTCTAGCCAAATTCGAGATTAAAAATGGTCAATTTCTGCATAAGTTCAATACTTTTATTAACTTTTTTCTTTTGTAGAACTGAGAAAATCGTGTACAATCTATGTTGTCCAGAGTAACTGATTCTGGAATAATGTAATTAGAAGTCAGAAAGATTTTCATTTTTGTGAATTGTCACGTTAAAAAGGTCTAAAACTTTTTGCTGCTGAGTGGACTATTATTCTAACTTTTTAATGTTGATCCATTTTTAATTAAATTATTACTTAGGGCCCAGCTGGGGTTGTTCAAAGGGGGAGTTTGACTAATGTTAATTAGCCAACCGGTTTACTTTGTTCATCCTCTTTCGAGTTTTGACAATAGTTTCATTTCTCGAAACCTTATATGGGAATCAAATTTTATTTTATTTTATTTTGCTTTTTTTTTTCCTTCTATATTAAAATTTGGTAAATCATTTGATTTTAATTCATTAAAAAAAAACTACTACTCCGTAATATGGAATGAACATACAAAGTTATGCTATACAACAAGCGTCATAAAATTTAGTAGTTTGCAGTTTACACTTTACAGTTGAGGATCAACATGGGAACAAATCCACAGATTGATTCCTGTAGACTTTCCTTTGTCTAATCTCGATATGATGTAGCTTTTCTCTGCACCAATTGAGTTGAGACGTGGAAATCGACAACATTTGAAGCACATTTTTAACCATCTTCAAATCGATCGTTGCGAAGAGAAAATCATCAACTCTTTGGTTTTCTATCTGATCCTGATCAGGATGTACAGCCCTTTTCCACCAGGACTTCATTTTGCCTTCCAAATTTGCCAGCTGAATCTCTTTCTGGTCCACCAAAATTCCAAAGAATTTGTGAAATTTAATAAGAATTTACCAACTTGGTTTATAGCGAGTTAGATAAAGGATACTTTATTATTTACCTTTCTGACAGTCTTCCGCAAATCATAAAGAAGTTCCAAGTCCCTAGGGTCTTCAATAGGCGGATGAGTAGTACTATTGTTGAGCTTCCATGTAGATTTCTTGGTGTTGGATTTGAGAAATACCCAGAAAACCTTTATGCAATTCTCTATGATTTTTAAGACTTGGGTTGCTTTCACATTCATGACTTCTTCAGTTATACTGTCATTTTCTGGGAAACATACACAACCAAAGAATTTTTTCAGAGCATTATCCACAAAGAAAGAGGACCAAAGAAAGATTCTAAATTATTTTAATTTCTAGGTTTTGAATTGTACTAGTAGTTTAAACAGTCGTCTATGCATACGTAAATTGCATTAAATGATTAAATTAAGTGCGAGTTTCACCGAAAACGGTATCTTTTTGGCTAGTGCGCGACTTTTTCAAAAGAAAAACTTGTTTGTTTATGGAGTCTACAAGTCAATCTTAGCAACATTGCAAACTGGCTATACAATATAAAAATTGATCAAAGAAAAAGGAAGCTGTCTATTTCAAACATTTTAAACTTAGTTCATGAAGCATGATATGATTTGATTTTTCCCTTTTGCTGTGTAGGCTCTTGAATAAAGGATCTTATCCATTAAAATGTTTAATAATGATATCAACACTTCTTTGGTGTCACGCCTCCTTTTTTAGGTTCTTCAAATCTAATAAGCTTTACCTTAGTGGTCATTTAAGTTGGTTATATACGTTTTTAGTGACTCAAAACCTACTTTTACGCCTCTGAATTACTCATTGGATCTCAAAAGATAATAGTTATATGTGTCGATACAATTATTTTTTTAAGATGAAAGGAGTTCTAAATTTGTCCGGTGAATGCATATGACATAAAAATGTGAATTCGTAGTCGTACCTATACTTGAAAGTTGAGGCACTTGGAGCAGTTTCTTCTGAGAAAACCTTCTTTGGACATATTTCGAGTGCCGTTGACCCGTGCTAATCTGCTCATCTTCCACGAACCTCTCCAGCAGAATATGAAACTCCCGAAATCTTTCTGCACTATCCTTATGGAAGAATCTGAGTTCATTAGAGTTTGCAATGGCTTCTTCGACTTTGCGATATTGATGATGCAATGCTTCCCAGGATAAGCATGATTGAGCTACATAAACCAGCTCATAATCACTGCTCAGGCTCTTCATCAGCTTCTCTTTGGTCTGTTCCAATAAACCAGCAGGCACCATGCTTTCAAGAAATCCAGCCCTCCCAAATCGCATGTTTTGTATTGCATCTGACCAAATTTCAAGACAATCGAAATGTTACCAAAGCAATAGAAGAATGATTATATAATTAATCGAAAAATACGCATTTCTTGCTCAAGTTATATCTTGTTTAATCAGGAAATTCTGAATAACCTATTCCATAAGCTCTCTCGAGACTTAGAAGATCAAACCATTTCATTCTTTCTTCATACTTAACGTAGAAAGAATCTAATTCTTCAACTTTCAAGCTAATTCTGTCCACGAACTCTGATTCATCAGGGGAACTGGGGACAAAAACGTCATGATTTTCATCACTATGAAACTCCAATTCCAAGTTGGGTAAATTTGAGATATTGACTGAAGACAGAGCTGGACTAATATCAAAAGAATCAGCTGGAATAGTGCTGCCTTCATCATCAGATTCAGTATCCAGATTATCCAGTTCCACTTCTGCACATGATGGAGAACTGATGCAACTATCATCAAAGTCATCCACCTGAATCAAGCTTGGATTTTTATCAATGGATACTGCATCATTTTCGACGATTTTTGCCTCGAAAACAGAGTCCACCTTGCAATGAATTTCTCCTTTGAGACCATTGTTGTAGGAGGGTAAAGAATATGCATGGATTGCAAGCTGATTTTGACTGGGAATAACTTGCGGAATGTCATTCTCCAGAATCTCCACTATCCCTTCTTCATCCAAAAACTGAGTATTATTACCAGCAGCACCCTGAGTGTGTGCTGCAAAAAAGAAAGCAAGTTTGTGCAGAACTCTGAAAATGGCAGCGCAAGAACTCGAAACCCACAAGATCAATCGGCTGAGGAACAGGATTAGGAGGAAGTAACACCTCCATAAGACCTTGATCCACAGGAAAATCTGACAAAAGCAGAGGAAAATGGGATGGATATAGAAGCTCAAGTAAAACCATTTTTTCAGATGCCCTTCTGGGATGATGAATGATTCAATTATAAACCAACAGGAAACCAGGGGAGAAGGCATATTATTCTTGCACCATCTAATCTGGGATTTTACCAATTTGCTTCTTTTTTTGTATATAGTTCTTCTTCAGGATGACTCACATCTGACACGGATTATCCATTTTGACTTAAAAATAAATTAATTTTCAAAGACCAAAACAATAAAATTGCAGACAGTAGTTAAATTAGTTGAAACTTGAACATCCATAGGAAATGCAATGAACTAGTCACGGAATAGAGAGTTATCCCAACAAACGTAACTAGGATTCTGTCAGCAATCGTCATCAGTGGGTCGGCAACTCAAGAAAACTCAAACATCCACGAATTTGAAGTTTGTAGTAAGTATCCAACCAATACCAATTAAATAAACTCAACTAGTCTCACACAATATCATAAATGGTTACAAGAGCCGGGGAGGGTTGGGAAATATTAATAAGAAAGAAATTGTACAAAAACAGAGGGGTAAATTTCTTTATTTAAATCACAAACCCGAGATGTTGGGAGTTTCAACAAAATTTTCAAAATTCAAAACTTCCAAAATAATAATAATAATAATAATAATAATAATAATAATAATAAGAATAATAATAATAATCTATATCATTATATATATACATATATATCTTTAATATATTAAAGGAGAGTTTTCAATCAGACACATGTTGCGATATTAGATAGGCTAATCCACGTGGCGCAAAATTAGATACTCGAATCCACATGTCGCAAGCACATCAATCCATCATTTAATAGTAATTTTTTATTTACAATCCGTAAAATTTATAAATAGTAACTAATTTTAGGCGGTTAATACTCCATATTTATAAGCAAAATATTAAATTAACTACGAGTTATTCAGAACTTTAACGGGTAAGATTAAACTTTGTGTTTTAGTTCGTGATTCACTTACAAGGGTAATTTATTTTGTGTTTATACGGGACTATACCCATATACTAAGTTATAATCATGAAATTGTTGATGGTTTCTCTCGCTTGCTCCTTTGTTATCTCTCCTATCCTCCAGCTAGAAGCCTAATATACTTCATTACTCTGCCACTTTTGGATTTTTTTTGGTTTGTTTTTAGACGAGACAAAAGTAGAACAGGGAAGAAAATAGAGGGGATGGGAAGGGAGAAGAAGGATACTGGGAGAGGGTGAAAGAAAGCCCGTGGGCGACAAATTCCAGTAATCTCTATATATATGGAATTTTCCGTATAGGTAATAACAGCTTTGTTCAGTAGATAATAACAACCCTTGCATGAAAATCGAATCATCACAGCAGCAGGATCAGGTAATAAGTCAATTTATAATGGGAAAAATTGGCCGATCTACCCAAACTTTACATGCGTTCTCAATTTTACACTATTCTTTTTTGATTAGCCAATATTACCCTAAGCTATTCAACCGTTAGCCGATTTTGTCCAATTTACTAATTTTGGTTTAAATTAACGTATTTTCTATTAGTTTTAATTACAAAAGTATCCTAATAGTTTTAAAAATTATAAAAATAACTCAAAAATTGTAAAAATAATAAAATAGTCTCTTTTCACTTTTTATTTTATTTTTTTCTGTTTTCTATTTCTTTTTACTATTTTTCATAACAATAAAAATATACTATATGATCTTTTAGAATAAAAATTTATTTTTAAACAATACTGCACAAATTTGTAGATATACATATTTGTAATTCATGGTTGATTTACATAAACATATTAATTTTTTTAATACTATGGCTATAAAATAATGATATTAGTTTTCTAATCCATTTTTTTCAATTTAAAGAATAAGATTTTTTTTTTACTAAAATTAATTTTTTTACAAAAAATTAAAAAATTTAGCATAGATTAAAAAATAATCGGCCAAATTTTCTGTTTCATGATAGTAGATATAAGATTAAGTCTCACCAAAGGATTTCTAACCATAAGAGTGATTTTATCCATATTTAAGCGGGGTCCACTAAAGGCGAGAGGGTTAGATGGTCAAGTAATTTAGGATGTGAGATAAAATTACTGTGTTCGATGTCTCGATTCTCACTGGGGCAATCTAATTTTTTTTTTTTTAAAAAAAGTGGGTCCAGTACTGGAATAGATTTTCTTTATATTATTTTTTCTTTAAAAAAAAAGACTTTCTGCTAAAGTTAGATATATTAATATCTCAAAAAATTATCGCAAAATGTTAAACCCTCACAATGATAAATATAAATGTTTTTTTATAAAATATTTTGTACCATTTTTGTAAATGCCATGACACTATATTCTTGTGTATGGCCAATGTAGAAATGAAATAGGTGTTTTTTTTTTTACTTTCTTTTCGTACTTGGCCTTTTACAGAAAAATTTATATTTTAGTTTTAATTATTTTTTTAAATTTTATGATACAATCTAAAGTCTGTTGAATTAAATTGTAATACATTAAAGTATACCAATAGCTTCTTTTTTAATCTATGCTAAATGTGTTATTTTTTTGTGCAAAATTAGTTTTAGTTAAATAATCTTATTCTTTAGATTGAAAAAAATGGATTAAAAAAATAATATCATTACCGTTAAACCATATTATTAAAAAAATAATATGTTTATGTAAATTAAACATGATTTACAAATATTAAATTATAAATTTATACATTAGAGTTTAAAAATAAATAGTTTTTTTTTAAAAGATCATATAGTATATTTTTATAGTTATGAAAATATTAAAAAGAGATAAAAAACAAAATAAAATAAAAAAAAACTGAAAAGAAACTGTTTTGTTATTTTTGTAAATTTTTGGGGTCATTTTTATAATTTTTAAAATTATTAGGGTATTTTTGTAATTAAAACAAATAGAATTCTATAAATTTAAACGGAAAAGAGCAAATTGGACAAAATCGGCTAACGATTGGATAGCTTAGGGTAATATTGACTAATCAAAAAAGAATAAGGTAGAATTGACAACGCTTGTAAAGCTTATGGTAGAATAGCCAATTTTTCCATCTATAATCTATCATATATATGAGAAAGAAAAGTAAGAAACTAGAGAGAATAAAATTCATCCACGTAAGAAAATGGGATAAGGACAAACAGTCAAACAGACAAACACTCTCTGAGTTTTGTTCCTAAAACTAACACCCCTGAAGTTTTGTGTAAGAACAAATGCCTCCTTAAATTTTGTCCCAAAGACTAAAACTTCCCTAAGTTTTTGTATAAATACAAAAATTCTCCTTGACCTTTGAGTCAAAGACAATCCAACACTTTGACTATGGAAATGTGGTGAAATTTAATGACATAAACAAGAAAATAATGTGTAAAGACCGTCAGGTTCCACCACCTCCTCTGCTCAAGTTGTCGGGTTTCAGCCAACCCATATTCAATCGAACGCAGTATATTGATCCCATATGAATTGTGGTGAATTTATTTATGATGTTCATGAGCTGATTCATTATATTTCAGTCCATGGTTGTAGCTCAAAGTTTTCCATTCGTCTTGTTGTCTTCGTCATTCGAACGCGGGATCCTTCTATTTAATTTGGTGTTCATTCGATTTTCAGCAAAAATAAGAGTATACACATTCAATCTTTTCACAAAAATTTTCCTTCACTTCTAGTTAGATGGACAAAGTTCATTGCCATTTTCCATTTGTTTCTAGTCAAACATTCAAATAGAAGCTATAGGTGGTACTTTGAGCTTCGCAAGCATATCAAGAACGTCCAAATCCGAGTTGGAAACATTAAATTATGCGTCGCCAAACGAGACTGATTTACCATGATTTTTTAGGACTTCAGCATATCACTATGCATGGCTTTCTATCTTTTCACAAATCTATACTTTTGTCTTTACACATCTCAGGAGGTATTAGTCTATGAGACTAAACTCAAGGAGATTTTTGTCCTTACACAAAATCTCAGGAGGGTATTAGTCTTTGGGATAAAACACAAGGGGTATTCTTACGCGAAACCTCAGGGGTATTAATCTTTGGGAGAAAACTCATGGAGTGTTTGTCTCCTTGAGTTTTGTCTCAACGATTGATACCCCCATGAGGTTTTGTGTAAGAACAAATTCCCTCTGAATTTTGTTTCAAAGACTATTATCCTCTGAGATTTTTTGTTAGGACAAAATCCTCCGAATTTTATTCCAAAGATTAATACCTCCTGAGATGTGTAAGGACAAAAGTCTAGATTTATGAAAAGACGGAAAAACCATGGTGATATGTTGAAATTCTCAAAACAATCATGGTAAACTAGTTTCACTTGATGTTCTCGGATTTAGGCGTTCTTGATATGCTTACGAAGATCAAAGTACGAGCTGCAACTTTTATTCAAATGTCATATCCAAATTTTGACTAGAAACAAATAAAAAAGGGCAATGAACTTAGTTTCTATGAAAAAGAAAATGAAGTTTTGATACCCATTAACTTTGTTAGGAATGAATCTTAGTTTCTATGATTCTCTAACCCTACACAAAATCAGAAGAAGAAGAAAAAGAAATGGAGGAATAGAGTATTTTGATCTTTACACATTATTTTCTTGCTTATGTTATTAAATTTCACCATATTCCTATAATCAAAGATTTGAATTGCCTTTGACCTAACGGTTAAGGGGATTTTATCCTTACCTAAAATCTCAGAGGAGTATTGGTCTAGGAACGAAATTTAGGAGTGTTTGTCCCCGTACAAAGCCTTAGGGGTATTAGTTTTTGGGACAAAATTCAAAGGGTGTTTGTCCTTATCTCTTTAAATTATCTTATTGAGACAAAAAAAATTGATTTAGATTAGATTATCAATAACAAGAATTAATAGTAGTTTTTAACAAGATCGAAATATCCGCATAACACATTGAACATAACTAGTTACTAGATGCTTGGCCCAGGCAGATGCCCGGGTGCCCCTCTACTTTAATTTTATGTTAATAGATAAATGAATTCTTGATTTGAAAAAAATAAAATAGCTACACATTTGTTTTTTTTTCTTTTTTAGCAAAAAATAATTATAAAAATAAAAAAATCATCTGCCAAAGGAGAAAAAATATTGAAAAGTACAACGATTTAGAAATCATACAAAAGAATATGGAGTAATAAAGGAGATAAGTTTATGGACAAATTTAAATACTATTTTAATTTGATTGATAAATGATAAATATTAGGAGTTAAAATTGTATAGCTATTTTTGTAAAGTAGTTTTTGTTTTTCTGGATAAGAATTTTTTTTCTCTTTTAAAAATAGATGACACGTGGCAGAATGGTTAATGCAATATGGTGCATTTGGAGCCAAAAATTTTTAATAAGAAGTTGCCACATCAACATCCTGTATTCTGCTTTAATAGGGTAAAAGGGATTAATGCTGAGTAATAACTAATGTAGAAGCTCACAAAAGGCGGGAATTAAGTGTAAATCAAAAGGACCATTTATGGCGGCAAAGAAGCAGTGAAGATGAATGATCAAAAAAAAATGAACGAACTACATTTTATCTCCGAATTTTGGTTGAATCTGCTATAAACCCCCCGAGTTTTAGTAATACTATCATATACCCCTTCACTCATAGTCAACCTACGAAATACCCCCTTAACATACAAACACTATTATCAATTTTGTGTAAACGGTAAAAAATACCCTTTAATCTATATTTTTAGATTATACAGTATAAATTTTATTATAAAAAATATATCATAAGTTAAAAAAATAATATTCCATATTAATTCTTTTATATTAATACATTTAAATAATAAAATTTTGACACTAACTATACCATGCCTTTTGAAATGAAAATTAGTTTCACAAATTAATTTCTTTTTTTTTTGAAGTATAATAAGCTTATAAATCATGGATTAACTTTCATATATTAAATTTTTATACATTAATTAAATTTGAAAATGATAACTTAAGTAATTTGTATTTTTAATGATCAAAAAATGAAGAAAAACAAATCAAAAAGGAGAAAAGAAAATTAAAGTATATGTAAACCGGGACCATTTTTGTCATTTTAATGTTTAGCCCTTGTTCAGGACGTATATGGTAATATCACTCAAATTCGGGAGTTTATTGTAGATCAGGGCAAAACTCAGGAGGTAAAATGTAGTTCGCGCTAAAAAAAAATTCTTCTTTGAGAGAAAGCTCCCAAAGCCAAATTCCATGCTCCGTAATTTCAACAATCTCATTCGATCTTACGCAAACTCCAGCGGGAACCTACAGAAAGAGGCCCTGCGAATTTTCGTCGAAATGCGTCGTTCCGGAGCTTTACCCAACGAACACACCTACCCTTTCGTTTTCAAGGCTTGTTCTTCCATTGCCAATCTTACTGACGGAAGACAAGTTCATTCGGATGTCGTCAAGCACGGTCTAGCTTCCAACGTTTATGTGCAGAACACATTGATTCATTTCTACGGATGCTGCAAGAACGTAATCGATGCCTACAAGGTGTTCGATGAAATGTCGTTTAGAACGGTTGTGTCGTGGAACTCGATACTCTCTGCTTTCATCGAGAGTTCGTGGTTTGATGAGTCGGTTGATGTTTTCTTTAAGATGAGAAGATCCGGGATTCAGCCGGGTGAGACCACTATGGTGATTTTGCTTTCGGCTTGTTCGGAGATTGGTAACTTGAGTTTGGGCAAATGGATCCATTCCCAAGTGATTGTGAGGGGTTTGGTTATGAATTGCCAGTTGGGCACTGCCCTTGTTGACATGTACGGGAAGAGCGGAAATGTTGGGAATGCGAGATTGGTGTTTGATCGGATGAGCGAACGCAATGTTTGGACTTGGAGTGCCATGATTCTCGGATTAGCGCAGCACGGCTTCGCTAATCAAGCCCTCGAACTTTTCCAGATGATGGATATGTGTTCGATACGCCCTAATTATGTAACTTTTCTTGGGGTGCTTACCGCTTGTAGTCATGCTGGACTTGTTGACGATGGACGCCGGTTCTTTAATGAGATGGAACACATCCACAAGATCAAACCGAAGATCGTGCATTATGGTGCGATGGTAGATATTTTGTCTCGCGCAGGACGCCTGCAGGAAGGGTATGATTTCATTTTGAAGATGCCTGTGAAAGATGACCCAATTACGTGGAGGACCCTGCTTAGCGCCTGCAACATTCACGACGTTAATGATTCCACCGGGATAGGCGAAAAGGTGAGACAGAGACTACTTGAGCTTGAGCCGAGGAGGGGTGAAAATCTTGTAATGGTGGCAAACAAGTACGCCGAAATTGGAATGTGGGAGGAATCAGAACGTCTAAGAAAGAAGATGAGGGACAGGGGACTGAAGAAAGTGCGTGGAGAAAGTTGGATAGATGTTGATGGTAGTGTCTTTAGGTTCTTGTCTGGAACTGATTTTCAAGTACCTTCAGAGGATATCTACGTCTTAGCAGAAAGACTGAATTTGCATACCAAAATGGTTCACTCAGTTCACTGTGATTATGACTAGCTAATTGCTTCATCTATATCTAGTTAGGCCCCCCTTCTTGTTCGTTTCTTCCCCAGAAAATCCCTTCTTTTTTTTGTTCCAATTTTTATCTGTTTGTCATCTGCCATCTTTAAATTTTATTTATTTATTTTTCACTTCCGTGGAAGTTGAAACCTGAGGGTTAACGAGTTTCCAAATGCAAGCCGCCAACGAAGAGTCAACTCAAGGAATAGCTGAGCATAATGTAATCAAAACGAGAGGGATAACTTAGAAAATAACTGACGCACACTTGGAATCACAAAGAGAACAAATAACAACAATTTATATAAGTGGAAGTCCACCTGTGCGATTTCCTCAAGGCAAAAACACATCACCTATAGTTATCTGTTTCATTTCCTCAAGACAAAAAAAAGCAACAATATATCTTCCCCACACGGAATGTGTTAGCTGAGTAATACAATACCTATCTTGTTCTCCAGTCACCTGTGCATGTTCAGCGAAATCATCCGACGAATTCGACTGCAACTAAGTATACTATGAAATCGATGTGGTCAAACGGACCACTACTTGACAGACATTTCCAAGATAAACTTATTTGTAACAGCTTCATCTAAGTTACACATGTTTTGCTAACCATGGATTTGGTCCTGAAAAGTTTAAAAAATAGAAATGTCTTACAATTTCCATCACAGAAGTGTAGGTCCCGATTATCATGATAATGGTGCCTGCTAACACGATTCCGGCTATGATCAGCTGCTCAAAACCGAATCTTCGGTAAATTCCAGAAATCTTCAAGAAACATACACACGGAAGTACTATGGAGGCTGACACACTGAGAAATGCTCCAACAAGTGACATGAGGTACCCGAAAAAGGGCACGACCAGGGCAACAATAACAGTGCTGACGACCAAACTGGATCGAATGCAGAGGCTAAATGACCTCTTATGGCAGTTGGAGAGCAATCTGTTCTCAATAGCATTCACGATTGGCGTTACCATCAACGCGTATTTGGCTATTGGATTCACCAGTGTTGTGTATATCGCCACTTTGGAACTAATTTTATTGACCGGAAGGTTCAATGTTATCTGAGACATCACGTTTGACCCAAACATCAAGTATCCTAAGACTGCCATCAAAGCATAGGTTACAGTGCAGAGGACAAAGCACACAATCATCACCTGCAGATAAATATTTGAAGCTTAGCACTGATAAGCTGAGTATATCTATGGCGAAGGAGACGCAACAGAAATTAAGGACTACCTTGGAGAACTGCTTTCGGTTTCTCATGGAAGTGTACAAAGTGGGAAAAACTGGATGAGCACAATAGCAGAACGAATACAGGCTTACGGCAGTGGGGATACCTCTCCAATTTACAAAAGTTCCCTTCTCATGAAATCCGATTCCATCAAATGCTCCAGTCCAGAAGATTGAGCAAAGCAGAGCAACAGAAGCCAAAACACCACCAGCAGAAATGATGGAAAGGATGCTCATATTGTTCAACCAAACAGTTGGCAATATAATGAGACTAACAATGACAACAAAGCTCTCTCTTCCTCCTACAGTATAATCACCAATCTGAAATGATACCCCTGGGAACAGATTGTATAAATTGTCACCTTCTAGAATCAAGAAACCTGTGGCCACCATGTACAGTTCAGTGTTCATGAGAACGGACACAAGTGTTCTTCCCTTTGTCCCAAAAGCGCGCTCGCCAATGTCGGGATAGCTTCTTATGCTGGAATCCATATCCATACATCTCTGAATAAGCAATCCAGTATAGAAGGCACAAGATGCAATAACCAATAAAAGTATCAAGCTGAACCATCCTCCTGTTGATAGTGCATATGGTACTGAAAGTATCCCCACCCCTGGAAAAGAACAGGCAAATATCAATTATATTTATCTAATTCAACTAAATCATTCCATAACACATTGCTTGTAATTAATTGCAGACTGAAACAGCTTGCCACATCTTCCATGACAAAAAAGAAGGAAGAACAAAGCAGACTGAAATAAAGCATGGGAGCATGCAGCTAAACAGTTATAAGTCCAGAAATCTAGTGGAATTGTACACTTCAAGACAACTTGAACCTAATCAAAGATAAGCCCAGAAAAAGTTTCAAAAAACCAATCTTTATTTCGTTTCGGTGATAAACCGACTAATTAAAGCATTAAACAAGAACTAGAAAGCTTCGGGTTTTCCCACAATCAAAAGAAATCAGTACCAAATTTTCCACTACCATGGAATTAAATTATCAAAAAGCAATCTTTTCCCCAGAGCGGCAAACTAAAGATAGAAATGGGGGAACATGGAAATATTTGAATCCAGAGAGGATAAGCTCAAGAAAAATTGTGAAAAAGATCGACCCTCTTTACTTAAATGTCCATTCACAGGGGTGAAGTATGAGGGTGAAATTAAAAATGCAGAGCAGCTTTACCTGATAGAGCATTGAGTCCATTAAAACAAGTTCTGTAAAAAGAAGTAGAGCCCTCCACAACATCATGGCCCTCCAATTTTGGGGGCGGATGATGATGATAATTAAGATGATCTTCTCCAATTAGGAGAGGAATGGAGATTGAAGAATGGGGATTTTCGGGTTGCTGCTGATCCATGCAAAAGGAGAAAGAGAGGAATACTATTACTACTTCTTCAGTATAAGCCGACCCAGAGAGGAGGAGGAGGAGGAGGAGGAGGGATATTGGGGGAAGAATGACGGCTATAAAGTAATTTACTAAATAGAAGAAAGAACTAAAAAGAATGAGAAATTGAACTTATATATATATAAACAAATTAAGATGATTAATTAGAGAGGCAGAGTCAGAGACGTGTGTGGAGTAATCAGACCAGCCGACTTGGGGAGATATGGAGTGGTAATTTTAGTAGCCGCCAAATTAGTCTTGTTTGTTGGCTCTAATTATATAGGTCCTCCCCGCCGGGAAGCTTCATTTCAGCAGCTTAATAACCATTCTGATGTTAAAAAAAAAAAAAGGAAGAAAAAGGAAGGATCTTTTTTGCATGGCTGATGCAAATGGTAAAAGGTGATGATCAAAAATTTGTGGGGGAACATTTTTTCATTGCATTAAATTGGGTTGTTTTGGTAATACTGGACCGGAAGAGAGGAAATGTATCAGAATGATGATGATTTTGTTGGCAGGAAAAATTCAATCATAAGTCTCCATCGTTAGCCTCTTAAACTCCATTGGTTACCACGTGCCCAGTATCATCATCATTATTCCGGAACCCCAAGTAAAGTTTAATGCTTTCTAATTAATGGTTGGATCTGTCAAATCTTTGGGAAGTGGGAACGTTGGTGATCATCATTTGATTTGATAATAACGTTTGCTTCATTTATTCGGCTGCTTTTTACTTATTAGAGTGTTTATAAGAAAGTCTCTAACTAGTAGTAGTAGTATTATTATTGTTAACACAGAGTTTCATCAGGAGTGTTGTTCCTTTCCTACCATCCGTCTGCGGGGGACCTGTAACTCTGATGAGTGATGACTGTCGCTCCGCGCCAAAATTCTGCGACTCCCAATCATCAACAGTTGTCGGAACCCATTCACATATAAAAATCATTTTGATTTATCCTATATTTGATTTAGTAGATTCTTATCATTGAAAATAGAACCTTAAAGAACATACTAAATGAAATTTATGACAAATTTAGTGACTGAACTAGCCAAAACAAGGTCGAAGTATATATAGAATTTTGTTTTCAAAAATATTTTAAAAATTATAAGGTAATTTTTTTAAAAAAATTGCCGACCACCCTTGCTCTCCCCTGCTTCTGTCCCTAACTCTTCCCGTCCCAAAATTATTGTGGAGTTTGAGTTTTTATTTTAATACAAATTGTACTTAAACTAAAAATACAAACTTGACAATAATTTTGGGATTGAGGAACTAACAAGTATCATGGGAAGTACTTATTTTTCTGTCAATAAACAAACAATTCTTCTAAAAGAAGTTGAGATTTGTGGTTTCTCTTATTCTAAAATTTTTTTAAAATTTAACGCGGATTATTTTTTGAAATTTTATACTCCTTTAGTTCCAAAATGATTATCCAGCTTGAATTTTCATTTTTACTACAATTTAAACGGGAGAAAAAAATCTAAACTAGAAAATCATTTCCGAATAAAATATTATGAATGAGTAAAACTCAAACTGTTTTTTCTTTCTTTCTCTCTTTCCCTCTTAAATGTGTGAACATCATATCGGACACACTTTTTGTTGTAACCAAAAACTCGTGGAAACAAACATTTCGTTGCAAAGTTGAAACCAACAAATGCAACGATGCATAATTATTTCATGTACGTACTAAACCCGTTTCAAAATAAGAAAATCGTGCTTTAATTAAAATTATACGAGTACAGACAATTCATACATCTTATTTTGGGACGAGAAGGGAATGAACTTACAACATACTTGCTACAGACAATCCATCAGGCTATCAATCTTTCACGCTTCAACTGGTTCTGGCCCAGAAAGGATATTCAACAACCGACCAAATCGTGTCCAACTCCTTTGACTCAACTTTTCATAGTCTATCAAATATCAACATGTTTATATTGTTTATTTTAAAGTCAAGATCAATACCCGATGAGAAATTCTTGTAATTTTGTTCTTGTAATCAATCACTAATTTTGACTTTTGAGAATACACTCAGGTCAAAAGTGGTAGTGCCTTACAAGCTCGACCAAAGCAGTGTAGGTTCCAGTTATCGCGCTAATGATGCCTACGAACACTATTCCAACTATAAGCATCAGCTCATACCCAAACCTTTGATAAATTCCAGAAATCTTCAAGAAGCACAAACAAGGAAGTACAATGGAGAATGTAACATTAACAAATGCTCCCAAAAGTGACATGAGTTCCCCGAAAAAGGGCACGGCCAGGGCGACAACAACAGTGCTCAACACCAAACACGACCTGATGACTATGCTAAACAACCTTTGGTTGCCGTTCGGGATCAATCTATTTTCAAGAGCAGTAACTGTTGGCATTCCAAGGTCGTGTAGATTGCGACTTTTGAACTGATTTTGTTGATCGGAAGGTTCAGTGTTACCTGAGACATCACTTCTTGCCCAAACATTAGGTATCCCATAATGGCTATGAAAGCATAGGTCACGGTGCAGATGAAAAAGCTCACAATCATCACCTGTAGAAACAAGGAAATTATAAAAAAAAAAAAAAATCAAAATCAAAAGAACATAGTAGTAAATCATAAATTCGGAGGCAAATTAACCTCTACCTAAAAGTTTTAATCGGTAGATTAAGAATACACATCTTACTTATTAAGTGCGTTCTATTACTTCCCGTAATTGATGTGAATTTTTTTTTTTTTTTAAAAAAAAGTGATCTGAAATTCATGAAACACAAAAATACGCAAATTAACACATAGTTACCTTGGAGTACTGTTAACACATAGTTACCTTGGAGTACTGTTTTGGGTTACTCATGGAAGGGTAAATAGATGGGAAAACAGGATGAGAACAAGAGGAGAGGGAAAACAGGCTAATAGCAGTAGGGATACCCTTCCAATTCATAAGAGTTCCCTTCTTATGAAATCCAATCCCATCAAATGCACCATTCCAAACGATGGAGCAAACCAGAATAAGAGTAGCCAGCACTCCTCCACCAGATACGACTGAAAGTAGGCTCAAATCCTTCAACCAAACAGTGGGCAATATGATAAGAGCCGCCAACACAACAAAGCTCTCTTTTCCCCCTATATTGACAAAACCATCAATCCGAAATGATACGCCGGGGAATATATTGTTCAAATTGTCTCCTTCCAGGATCATGAAACCGGTGACTCCAATGTACAGTTCGGTGTGCATGAAGAAGGATACAAGTGCTCTTCCTTTCGTCCCGAAAGCGCGCTCCCCCATGTCAGGGAAGCTCCTTATGCTGGAATCCATATCCATACATCTCCGAATAAGCAATCCAGAGTAGAATGCACAAGATGCAATAACAAACAGAAATGTCAAGCTCAACCATCCTCCAGCTACCAATGCATATGGCAGTGCAAGTATCCCAACTCCTGAAAAGAAGGGAAAAAAAAATACCATTATGAATCAACTTCAGAAAAGATAAAAATAAAGAGTGAACAAATACTATATAATAACCTGAAAGGAAATTGACCACATTGAGACAAGTTCTGTAAAATGAAGTAGAGCCGCCTGGTGTAACGGAATCAACAATATTATACTCGGGCTTAGCCTTAGTTGACGGATCATTGGCAATATTAACTTCTCCAATTAGGAGGGGTATTGTGATTGAAGTGTATTGGTAATTTTCGGGTTGTTGGTCCATCGTGTATACTTGATTGTGTGATACAATAAAATGGGAGAAAGGATTACTAGGAAATTGGGTGGTTTTTGGAGGGGGGAAATGAAGGGCTACATACGACTATATATATTAGTAATTGAAAGAAATCAGAGTTTGAGGGATTTAAATAAACAACATGTTCTGTGTCTTTTAGAAAGTCAGAGAGACGCTTGATCATGCTAATCAGATGCAAATTTTTTTAAAATGTTTAATGCGTTACTTGCTATATTGATTGGTGCTTCAAATCTATGATTTCGACAAAAATTTGAATTATTAGTGTGATCAACTTGACTAATTAGGGTATGGATACGAAATGGAGACCTATGGTTACTTGCTATATATTTTGGTGCTTCAAATCTATGATTTGGACAACATCTAAAATTATTAGTGTGATGATCGATTTGAGTATTTAGGGTATGGAGACGTAATGGTGACATATGAAGTGAGAAACAAGAAATTCCGTCAGCTAGTTTTATTTTACGGGGTGGGAGGAAGAGACCGGCAGGCGATCTCTATGTAAATTGGCGGAAATCAGGCTTTATTAACTAATTTGTTAGGGTAATTTCATAACGATATGTGTCAGATTCATCATTAGTTAGTTAGTTTAATGGTTTGGGGGAAAAAAGGGAGGCCAGGGAAGAAATGTGCAAAACCATGCAGCGACTCTGTGGCATTTTGTTGTTGTTCTGTTGTTAATGTTATTATTTCCATAATATATAGCCGTGATAAACATAAGAGAAATATGTAATAGATTTATATATAAGTGATATGTTCGAAAAGATAAACTCTATCCGTCTCGATACTATTGTTCAGTTTGGATTTTCATTTTTTGTACAAATTAAAATTGAAATCATGGGCAATTATTTTGGGACAGATGGAGTATGCTCTCCGGAATTGTGTTCACGCACGCACGATCATGCTGGAACCAATAGGCTGGCGCTGGTCCCCGGGTGGCTGACGGGAATGTCTCACTTTCTAATGACAGAAGCTAAGGCGATTGATAACGATAGGTGGGAGTGCATTTTAATTTGGGATAATACATTGTTGGCCGCTTTGGACTTGGGAGGAATGCAAAGATCTTTCAAAATAAAAACACTGAAAGAGATAGATTCGTATATGGGAAGAGTGTTGAATTAAGCAGCAGACCTCATGCCTAAGAAAATTGAAAAAACTCAGAGGCTGCCAGGGGGACGTTGATGATCGATCATGTGGGGAGTTCCCGTCCGGCTGGATGGATAAAAAATGAATACCGATGGATCGATCTTTTGATAGTCAGTTGGGGCTTGGCTTCGGCTGGGGGTTTTGCTGCGTGATCATTACGGCAAATTTCTAAGGAGATTTGTAATGAACATTGGCTTTGCTTTTTAAAACCGGAGTAGAGCTATGGGGGTTTATTCCAAGGGTTGCAAGGGCTCTGGTTATCGATAAATTATTGTAGAAGTAGACAACCTCAGTGTGATGACAATAGTTAAAGAGTATGGATGAATCGATAAGTATTGATTTTGTGAAACTAAATTTTCAGCAAATTTTATGGCACGCTTAATTAGTTGTTACTCTAATTTTCAGCAAATGAGTTGTTACTTATCCAAAGGGTTTACATTGGTCTCCCCCATGTCTTAATTTTTAACTTGGTCAGAGTCTCCTATTCACTATATGTATTAGGCTCCGTTTGATAATCACTTAAGTCTGAATCTGAACACTGAATACTGACCACTTGACACTGAAGTTTGAAGTCTGAATACTAAATTCACATTGTTTAATAAAAACATCTGAATTTGATGTCTGAAGACTGAATCTGAATACTCAGGTCTGAAAGTTATTTTAAATTTTTAATATCATTAAAATTGAATCATAAACAAAATTCTTTTAAATAGAAAAATAACTAATATTTTGTTCTAAATAATAAAATAATAATTTTAAAATAAGTTTTTGGTATATATAATGAAAGTAGATATTACACTTGGTAAATAATCAATAGATAATTAAATTTAGATTATTTACATATATCGATATATATATATATGTATACCTTGTTATTTAGCAAATTTTATGTAATAAAATTAGTTTAATTTGATTCTGAAAATTCGAGATTTTTTATACTTATATATAAATTTAAATTTAAGCACTCTTAGACTCCCTTTGATAATCACTGAACTCTGAATCTGAACACTTAACACTTAACACTGAAGTCTGAAATATGAAGACTGAATTTATATTGTTTGATAAAAATGTCTGAATTTAGTGTCTGAAGACTGAAGTCTGAATCTGAATAATCAGGTCTGAAAGTTATTTAAATTTTTAATATCATTAAAATTAAATTATAAATAAAATTCTTTTAAATAGAAAATAACTAATATTTTGTTCTAAATTATAAAATAATAACTTTAAAATAAGTGTTTAGTACATATAATGAAATTAGATATTACAGTTGGTAAATAATCAATATATAATTAAATTTATATTAATTAAATTTCTTAATTAATTTATCTTAAGAAAATAAAAATTTTAAAACAATATAAAAATAAGCGTTGAAATAAAGAAAATGAAAAAAAGGGGGAAAAAAGAAAAGAAAAAAAAAGAGCCATTTCAGATATTAAGTGTTAAGTGATAAGTGGTAGGTCTATCACTTATTTTCTTGCTCACAATTGAAATGGCTATTCAGACACACTTAATTAATTCAGACAGTGAAATTTTAGTTATTAAACGTACTTAATTTATAAATACTTAATTAATTCAGAACTTATTTAATTAAGACATTTTAGTTGAGATTATCAAACATACTTAATTGCATTAAGTACTTAAATAAATTAAGTCATTATATTAATTGATTATCAAACAGAGCCTTAATTTAACTTTTTAAGTTTTTACTTCCTTTATTGTACTGAAAAAAAATAAAATAAAATAAGATTGTCTTATGAATTCAAGCGTCACTAAATTATTTCACTGGTTCTATTATATTGTTTGGTAAAGATACAACACAGAAAAAGGTAATTTAAAAACCTGATATGGCCCAATCCTACTTTATAATAGAGTTTAGTTTTATTTAATGAAATTCGTCATTGCTGCTGCAAAAAGTCATTAACCTAAACAAACCATGTTCTCGTATAAAACCATAAATAAATAAAGTAAACAGATAACCCTAATTTGGTGACCAAGTCAACATCCATGCATGCATGTGGGAGCCGGATTAGCTTAATCCCAGCTTAAATCCACGAAAACGAAGTTCAATAGTCAGCAACAACATACATTGCAAATAAGAAAGTCGAGTTTTTTCATGTCTCCTGACATAAATGGAAAGTCACCTACAACAGAGTGTCTATTAATCAATTGCGACTTAGTAAGGGGGAAAAAAAAAGGAAAGAAGAAAAGAAGTGGATGTAGTTTAATTCCAGTGAAGGCGAGACTATGAACATGTTACAAAATTTCAGTTGAAGCCTTTTGGAGTTGTCCCTTTCCAGAAGCCCTTTTGGAATCTGCAGTAAAATATGAGGGTTTGTCAAAATCAAATGAACAAGCTCGTAAGACTTTCAGGAAAGTAGGTTGCCAACTGAAACGTAAATTTAATGGAGTCATTAAGATTCTTAAATTAGTTGTAACACAAATCTTATGTAGAGCTAGAAAATTCTTCAATCAGAGAAATATAATAGAACCTAAATTGACATGGCAAATGACGATCAATCACACGACCAGAATCTTTTTAGCAAAGAAGTGCAATACTAACAAATATATAACCTGCTTGTTACTTTCTCTGCAGGGGAAATTGACGCTTTCAAATAGCATAAACAACCGCGAGAGAAAACAGAACGCAACAACGATGATTACCCTGGCAAGAGCAACAAAACGTGAGAATGGTGAAGAAAGATCAGAAGTGTTGTTAATAAATAAAAATTAAAAAAAAAAAAAGATCAGAAGTGTTGTTTTATGCTTCTCTTTTTATTTTTTTAGTTACCTGGCAATTAAGGGCATCTTGATGTTACATATCGAGAAGAAGATTTCGGGTTCGCTCGCATCACTAGTGACTTGTGGCACTGAGGAAATTAACATTACCTTTTAACATATATGTATTTAACACAAGTTATATGATTTATAAAAAAAATAATTAGATTGCGTAACAGTAACGTATCACGGAAGATTATTGAAGGGAAGGAAAAAAATAAAAATAAAAATAAAAAGGCATGTGCGAATACAACCATATAACAAGAGGGGAGCCCGGAAAATGAAATCATGTCTAACTTAATTTTTTCATTTCAATCCTCGATGCAAAATCACACAATCAGACACTATGAAATACTCTAAAGACATTTCAACATATATGTAATAGAAAAATTGTTGAAGACTTCTCGCTCTTGTCGTTAGTGTGTTTAACCTTTTAAAGGAGAATAGGTTATATATTATTTTTTCTGTCCAAAAAATGTAGTCCAGTTGATAGTTTTGGGATTTGTACTGAGAAAGTAAGTTTTAAAATTCATTCGGACAGTACGTATTTGAAAAAATTCTCAGCCACAGTACCTTGGTACTATAGCCCGCCATTTGATTCTGGCTGGCTAGAATGCGGAAATAACCGAACGTGATGATGATGGCTAGGTTTACTGGAAAATCGAAAGGAAATGTGGACTCTTTTTTTTATAATTTTCGTTATGAAACGTAATACAAATCGTAATGTTATTATGTTCAAATATAAAAAGCTCTTCAATCTTTAGTTGATTTCGGCCATAAACCGACTAATAAGCACTAAGTAGAATTAGAAAGCTTTCTGGTTTTCCAAAATCAAAGAAAATCCGTAGCGCGAATTTTCCTGTACCATGCAATTAAAAATTATCTAAAAGCAATCTTTTTTCCCAGAGCCGGAAATTAAAGATCGAAATGGGAAAAGCTAGGACTTTTTTAAAATCCAGAGATAATTAGTTCAATAGAGTTAGTGAAAATTAGACCATCTTAATTCAACCAAAAATGTCCGTCCAAACTCCAAAGAGTCGAAATATTAACGACGTAAATAAAATTAAAAAAAAAAGTGAAAAAAAGTGCAGGGCATGCAAGAAGGATACAGCATTGAGTCCATTGAAGAAAAAAAAATGTGCAGTAAAATGAAGTAGAGCTCTCCGCTTTACTTTCCAATTTTGGGGACAGATATGATGATAATTAATTAAGGTTGTCATCTCCACTTTGATCGTAAACAACAACAGTCAGGGAAACAAACATTCTGTTGCAAATTATTACCAACAAACGCTAAATCCATGTACACAGTCCAGTTCGTCTCAAAATAAGAGAATCGTGTTAAAACTAAAATTATCCATGTACAAAGTACAAACAATCCATACATCTACACCGCTTCAATCTTTCACGCACTTTTTGGTTTTGGCCCAGAGAGGGTATTAATCGACCAAATCTTATTCAACTCCTTTTGACTCGATCTTTATACAACAAAGCGCGTGTTTATAGTTTTTATTACCAATGTCACCATCAATATACAATCAGAAATTGCTTGTGGGTACGTATAAATGTAGCTAATCTAATCTATCACTTTGAGTATATACATACCATGATATGATAGTATTATAGTAGTATTAGATTAAATTTACAAAAAATAAAATGTTTTCCAATAAGGATGGGAGGAGTAGTACTATATGTTATTACTGGGGTCAGTCAAAAATGGTAATAATGCCTTACAATTTCCACCGAAGAAGTGTAGGTTCCAGTTAGCACGCTAAGGATACCTACTAACACTATCCCACCTATAAGCAGCTGCTCCAACCCAAACCTCCCATAAATTCCAGAAATCTTCAAGAAACACAGACAAGGGAGTACTATGGAAGATGTAACACTGACAAATGCTCCCGAAAGCGACATGACTTCCCCGAAAAACGGCATGGCCAGGGCCACGATGACGGTGCTGAACACCAAACACGACCTGATAAATATGCTGAACGACCTTTGGGTGCGGTTAGGGATCAATTTATCTTCCAGGGCATTGACCGTTGGCATTATCAACAATGCATATTTGGCTATGGGGTTCACCAGAGTCGTGTATATTGCCACTTTTGAACTAATTTTGTTGACTGGAAGGTTCAGTGTTATCTGCGACAACACCTTTGACCCAAACATTAGGTACCCTAGAATGGCTACTAAAGCATAAAACACCGTGCAGGAGAAAAAGCTCACAATCATCACCTGCAATAGGGTTTGAGAAAAAAAAAATCAAAACACATTTATAAATCATTCATTCGGAGACCCATGTGAAAAGATATGCAAACATAACACACATTATGTACTATAAATTACCTTGGAGTACTGTTTTCGGTTGCTCATGGAAGTGTAAATTGGGGAAAAAACAGGATGAGCGCAATAGGACAGTGAAAACAGGCTAATAGCAGTAGGGATACCCTTCCAATTCACAAGAGTTCCCTTCTCATGAAATCCAATTCCATCAAATGCACCATTCCAAAAGATGGAGCAAAGCAGAATAAGAGTAGCCAACACTCCTCCACCAGAGATGACAGAAAGTAGGCTCAAATCCTTCAACCAAACAGTTGGCAATATAATAAGGCTAACCATGATAACAAAACTCTGTTTTCCTCCAATAGAAAAGTACTCCCCAATCTGACACACGACTCCGGGGAATATGTTGCTCAAATTGTCACCTTCCAGGATCATGAAACCGGTGGCTGCCATATACAGTTCGGAGTGCATGAAGAAGGATACAAGTGCTCTTCCTTACGTCCCGAACGCGCGCTCCCCCATATCAGGGAAGCTTTTGATTTTGGAATCCATATCCATACATCTCTGAATAAGTAATGCAGTGTAAAATGCACAAGATGCAATAACAAACAGAAATATCAAGCTCAACCATCCTCCCGCTGCCAACGCATAAGGTAGTGCAAGTATTCCAATTCCTATGTGGGGGGGACAGAACAAGTGGAAAATAATACAATTGTCAAGTGTTACCAGAATTTCTGGCAACTATAATACAACTATATAGACATGAAGTTTAGCTTAATTGATAAAAGAAAATAAAATATGAACCATTACGCACTAGTACAGAACAAGCTAGCTACCTGAAAGGGCGTTGACCACATTGAGACAAGTTCTGTAAAATGAAGTAGAGCCGCCTGGTGAAACGGAATCAACATTATCATGCCCCGCCTTCGCCTTAGTTGAGGGATCACCGGAAATATTACCTTCTCCAATCAGCAGCGGAATTGTGATTGAAGCGTATTCATCATTTTCGTGCTGTTGATCCATTCTTGTACTTGATTTTTGTGATACAAAAAAATGGTAGAAAGGCCTACAAGGAAAATGGGTTGTTTTTGGTTGGGGGGAAATGAAGGGCTACATACAACTATTTTAATAGAGAGAGATCGGAGTTTGAGAGATTCAAACAACATATATTCTCTGTCATTTGGAAAGTCAGAAAGAAGCTTGATCATGCTAATCAGATGGCAATTTTTTTAATGTTATGATGCGTTACTTGCTGTATTTCTTTAATGTAATTATACCTTGTTGGTGTTACTTTTGTATTGTTGATTCAAATCTATGAATTGGACGGTATCTAAATTATTAGTGTGATAAATTTTGTATTCAGGGTATGGATGCGTAATAGAGACATATCAAGTGAGAAACAAGAATTTCGGTCAACTCGCTTTATTTTTGGACGTGGGAGAAAGAGGCCGGCGGGTGAGCTGTGTGTGAATCGGTGGAAATCTGGTTTTGCTAATTAATTTGTTAGGTTGTAATTTTATAAGGATATTTGGAAATTTCATTATTAGTTAGTTTCATGGTTTGGGAAGAAATGTGCAAAGTGCAAACTATACAGTGACTTTGTGGCATTTTGTTGTTGATCTTTCCATCATGTTCGGAAAGATATAATGTACATATCATGCTTTAATAAAAATAAAAAGAAATTAAAACATTTTCATGTTATAAATTCATACCTCACTAAATTATTTCACGTGCTCGTATATTGTTTGGTGAAGATACAGCATAGAAACAAGGTAATTTAGAAACCTGATATGACCCACTCCTTCATAATAGAGTGTGGAATTATTGAATGAATTTCGTCATTGCTGCTAACAGAAGTTACTAAGCTAAACAAACCGTGTTTTCGTATAAAGTAGTGATACGTGCGGCACATTAACCATAATTATATTTTTATGAATAAGACTACGAGGGATTAAATTATAGGAATCTGAGTTGCCCCAATCGTTGGTCACGATGTTTCTTAAACGAACTCAACATAAATCATTTTTTTTCTTGAATTGCAAACTTTGGGCCTACTTTGAGAAATAAATCTTTAAGGACTAAGTCAACTGAGAAAATTAATAATTCCTGGTGTCCTTAATATAAGTTATTTATTTTTAATTGAAAAAAAACCTTAAAAACCATTTCATAACAATCACTAGTGTTGTCAGACTCGGCTCGGATACCGACTCGACAAGGTTAAGGGTCCGGAGTTTTATGGGTCAATTCGGGTCCACTCGGGGGTTGACTCAGATGATGTCATTATGATGTAATAAATTATATATAATTATTATATATATTAATAATCCAAAAACTTAATATTTATGTATCTTTTTTATGGTAATAGTCAAAAATATTATTTTAAAGAATTTAATTATAGATTAAAAAATAAGCATATTATTTTAACAAGTGATAAATTAATTATTAGTATTTAAAATTTATAAGTTTATAAGATAGTCAACTTTGAGTATTAATAAAATACATAACATAAAAATAAATTTCAACATATTTGAGATATAGTTTAAATTTTGAATAAAACAATGTAAGTTCATATGTGAGAGAAATAATAAAAGGATTTCTCTTTTTTTAAAAATAGTGTGTTTAATAATTGAAGTGAAAATTTAGGGCTAAAATGGCAAATTAATTCTTTGAAAAAAGTTATGGGCCATATAAGAACAAAAGACAAATATTTGGACCAAGAATGATAAAGAAATACACGAAATCCAAGGAGCAAAAGTTTAAAAACTGGCTAGAATCAAACACTCTGAGTCGACCCAAGTTCGACCGGTTCCCGGTTCGCTCGGAGTTTTGACCGATTTTGACCAAGTCCTAAAGGAGCGAGTTTTTAAAAGTGATTCGGCTCGACATATGGTCAGTTTCCGGTTTAACCAGTTGAACCGGCCGATCCGAGCCAAGTTTAACAATATTGATAATCACGAGAATACAACGAATATGAAAATATATTTTTAATATTTTTTTATTAATTAAAAATGCGTATTTGGTGAAACTTACGATAAATCAATATGTCTCATGTTAAGGACCGGAGGGAGTAGTAAATAAATGAAAAGAGAAAAATATCGCTGAGGGTCCATGCATCAAATTAAGTATGAGTATATTAGAGCAACATCAATGCATTGAGGTAAATTGTGGTCCCCTTAAGTCCACCTAAGCTTAACTTGTCAGAATGAAGTAAAAATGTATTTTTTTTCAACGGCAGTTACCAAACATGGGAGTAAAACAATAAGGACAGCATGGCCCGCATGACCAATGACCCCACCCTTTCAGACTTTTACGGGTAACAAATGAGCCAACCAGTGTATTAGTTTACACTACGCAATGGGAAACGAACAACTGGGCAGTAATTGGCCTGCAGTCCAAGGGCCAATTACTGTCCAATGCGGATGCTCTTAGCTAACATATATACTTTGAAGGAACTATCTCTAATCTAAAGAATAATTCCAGAGATGAAGCTATCAATAATTTTTAGTATCATTATTTAACATCTCTCTTTTAAGTATAAGATTTCCAAAGCATTATCATGGTCATAATTCTCTTGTGAATGGAAGAGAGCTTATTTTTTATTTCTATATCGAGAACTCCTTTTTTCTCTCTTTGTCCCTTCCCTTGTTCTCATTATTTCTCTTGTATCTTCTTCATCATTTTACGTATATTCTTCTCCGGTGAGTCAAAAAATTTTGGCTGAATGTGGTGGGAATGTCAGCTAAATCATTCTCACCTCCTTAATTTTCTCATTTGACTAACAAAAACGACTTTCTCCCTGGAGAAGACTGGGGTCATCTTCCTGATAATTAAGTGGATCAGTTTGCCTCCGGTACCTTCAAAAAGTAAGTTCACTAGCATCCGCCATAGTTTATAATGTTGGGTTTCTCCTCAAATTCTGAATCCCATAATGATGAGTATTTGGCATATTTGAGTCTAATAGGTTAGTAGGGTTTTTGTGTTTTTTTTTTTTTTTTTTTTGAAAAGGGGTTTTTGTGTTGGTTTAGTATAAATAAAAAGTTTTTGTACTAGAATCATTTGGGAGGAATGCAAGATTTAGCCACTTGAGAGAAAGCTTGAGCCAGGGGAGGAGAAAATAGGATTGAGTTGAGTTGAGAGTCCTCTTCTATTTTCTACTCTTTATAGATGGTGTTTTTTCTTCTCGGCACACATAGTGGGATGAGTGCGGAAAATACTTTGTCGAGTAAGAGAAACAGTTGTATATTAATCGAGACTCTACACTTTGTATACCCTTCTATTCTTATACTAGTGAATATGTTACCGTGAACATAGATCTGTGAGAGATCGAACCACCAAGAGAATAATAAAAACTAAAAAGTCTTTTATCAATTAATCCTCTTGTTCTACCAATAAACAAAGAACCCAAATTGTAATACCAATATATGCCATGGTCTACAACACAAACCCTGGAACCCGAATAATGTTGTAGGGAAGGGGGGTTGAGGTGTAAATACAAGTATACAATCATCAATCATCGGGATATTAGTGATCCTGTTTCTTAAAGCATATTTTTGTTTGATAAAAACAAAAGTAACATTTTGCAATAGAATTATTATTAGGCAAGATCAATTTGGCTACCCATATACGAAGGAGAAGAAAAACTTCTTAATCTCTTAGAGGCTGCACTTAATAATCTTTATATATCTCATGGCACTAATTTAATTACTCTCAATCATCACTCCCACAGAAACCATATTCAGCCCATCTACTCTTCTCCACCACATCAACACTCACCTTCCTCTTCTTCTTCTTCTCATCCTCAAATGGTTCAGCCATATAGAGTTTCCCAGCTTCCAAACCGTTTGTCCCCACAATCTCCGACAAGCGAGCGCAGCCGAAATCAGCTTCGAATCTAGCTCTGAGAAGAGCAACCTGGTCCGGATCCCTCTGTGCACCACTCCCTATGGCAAAAGCCACTGATTTGCCACCGTAAAGGCACATGTAGTAAACCAGGTGGAAATCATCCCCAGATTTTATGGATTGGTAAGGTCTCAACACTCGCAACTTTCGCAAATCCGGGAACAACTTCTCCTCTAACGAATGGAGGCTCTTTTCCAGCTTTTCATAACTTCTGTTATCCTTATTTATCTTCTCGTCTAATTCCTTAATCTCTGAAAGCTTCTCGCTTTTTTGCATGTACAATGACAGCCTCATCTCCCTCTTCTTCTTCTTCTTCTTCTTCTTATTATTATTACTACTTATCTCTGTTTCATCTATCTTCTTCTTGAGGTTCTCAATTTTTATACTAAGAGAAGCAAAGAGCCTTTTGACACATTCTTCAGACAATGGGTCTCCGGAAATCTTCTTTTGAGCAAGCAACCTGCGATATTCGATAGTCGCAGTTAACCTTTGCCCCTCTAGTTTCATCACACGCAACTTTTCTTCTATCATCACTTCTCTTCTTTTGAATTGATGCCTGATTATCTGTGGTAGAAGTTGCCAGTCGGGTTTTCCAGGGTTCCAAACCGCCACTTTGACATGGAAATTTAATATGAATATAGTATACTAGGGCAACCAAAAAAATATATGACACCATACTTCACATCATCATAAATCAAATTTGATATATAATTGTGTCACAGAAGAAGTGTAATGGTACTTTTTGTGAAAAGATGGTGGCCTTAATTTTTATTTGTATTTTTTTTTCTATATACAGTTTATGATTAAACAATATACAAAACTTACTGGCTTTTGATCTTCAGATTTGTAGAGTAGACCGGAAGCGAGAAACAGATCAACACAATCAGAATGACTAGTTGGGTAATCCCAAAATTGAACCTATCAATCAATGTAGCAACTGCTAATGATTGAATATATAGAGCCAGATCCACCACGAACATGTGTACATACGAAGGATCAGTGAAGAGGAAAACCCTAACTTAGAAACACCCCCAAAAAAAAAAAACATACGGTATATGTTTTTCTTTAAAAAAAAAAAAAGAAGAAGGTTTTAGTTGGAATCAGAGACAAACAAAAAGAAAAATAAAATCTTCTCATTGTTTTAGAGACTTATTATTTTTTTGTATTTTTATTAAAACCTGTTTTCGTTCGGTTTGTCGTTTAATACGAACCTGGTGAGAAGTATTAAGGCCATCATCAACCGCCTCCTCCTGACTTCGGCAGCTGCAAAGAATCAACAAACAAACCAACTAGTGGAAGCTTTCTCGAGCAACCCTATGCTTCCCACGGAGCGTAGATCAAAGGTTAGAAATTTACTTACCCTGCAACCATGTGTTTGTTTTGTTTTGTAGTTGTCAAAATCATATATTGGTTCAGTTTCCAAAAGTATACTCTCTTAGAACACGAAAAATAATTAATTTCGTTGAATTAAAAGAAATATTGTACTCCCTCCGTCCCTCGGACCCAAAAAAAATAATAATTTTATTGGACTAAAAAAAGTATAACAAAATAGACTAACTTTTTAAGACAGAGTAACTTTATCAACATAATTGCATGACTTCCGTGGCTTGGTTGTTTGGATGTTGTGGGGTTTATTATGTTATTGATTAATTGTAGTTAGGTGGTTGCTATTGGAAAGATTGAATCTTTTTTTTACCTACTAGATTTAGGCTTCCATTCAACAACTACTTGGCCTTCTCTTTTTGGTGTTATTTTCTTGATGTGAAAATGTGAATGTGTTCCTTTAGCTACCCTACATTGATGTTATTGAAGGTAATTTCTTTAGGACTGCAGATGAAAATAATATGATTGTTACTTTAGACCTGGGGAAATCATGGTAGAGATTGAATATCATATGAATGTTCTGACTGCAGTTTATGTACGTATATATCATGAATCTGTCTGACAATTTTTCTTTTTCCCGGCGCGGATTCGATATGGATACTAAGAAGCGAAAACTCTCCAGTGGAATAATATTACCATATCCCCAGATGATGTAGTAGCTGTTATTCTGTCCTGTTTACCACTGAAGGAAGCAGTAAGAACCAGTATCCTTTCTAGGAGGTGGAGATCATTGTGGAGAGGCAGGAGAGCTATCTCTGGTAGTATTCACTTGGATTTTGACTTCATTTCCAAAGCTTTGAAACCTAAATCCAAGAAGAACACCAATTCTACTCGCGAGTTTGAGGCAGTGGTGAATCAGATCCTCAAACAAAACCAAGCATCATCTGTTGAGAAATTCATTGTTCGTTGCATTGAATTCCCATGGAATTCTTCTTCTTCTTCTTCGACTTGCATTGTTGATTGGGTTCAATTCGCAATCCAAAAGGATGTGAAGGTTCTTGAATGGTACTTGAACTGTGAACCTCCCATTGAGTTCCCTGGCTTGGAAAAGTTTTTGTCATTTTCAAGGAGATGGAACCCTAAATGTACTAATGGACTATCCTCATTGACATCCCTAAAGTTGTGCTGCATTCGGATCCAGGAAGACATGATGAAATTCCTCCTATCCAACTGTTCGCTTCTCCAACGCCTCGATCTTACAAACATCCGAGGTCCAACATCTCTAAATATTGATGCTTCTCCAGCCCTAAAGTCTCTAACTGTGTGCCATTGTTATTGGTTTCGCAAGATAACGATTTCAGCTCCAAATCTTTACTCCTTTGAATACAAAGGTGAATTATACCTTCCCACCGAATTGGAGGATGGAACAAAGATTGTATTCAAGGATGTACCTCTTCTGTCTGAGGTCAGTTACAGTTCAAGAGGTTATGAGTTTTATGTTCCTGTTAACTGGCATTTCAAAGGTTGCGATCAATGGAAGAAGCTTGTCCTGGGTCTTCATTCTGGGGATATTCCTTTCATGTTTGGAAATAGCTCTCACAGATTCCAATGCCTCAAACATCTGGAACTGGTGTTCACCTCGGATGATTCTCCACACCTTCTCGACTTTGTATGGTTGATCAACAAAGCACCTTTCTTGAACACATTTGTAATTCAGTTCATTTACGCGATGCGCTCACGCCTTTCCCCGGTAAGAAACTAATTATGTCCCCAAAAAAAAAAAAAGTAGTATAAATTATTGTCTCTCATATCAAAATTATTGTCCAGTTTAGATTTCAGTTTTAGTATAAATTGAACTAAAAATGAAAATCTAAACTGACAATAATTTTGGGACGGGATTAATATTTGTCCAAAAAGGATTCTGATATAACAAACGTGACTCTTATTTTTAAATACGTATAATGTTGCACCTTGGATTAAGATTAACTTTTGCAACTAATATATGTCTTGTGTTTGGATTTGCTTCACTCAGAAAAGCTTAGAGAGGGAGCTTGACGATCTACGCAAAGATGCACAGGAGCTTGGGAAGAATCACCGACATGGACATCTTAAAGTGGTGAAGTTAATGAACACCAGTTTGTGTAGGTTTGAGTTTATGTTTGTGTTGTGTTTGCTTCGGATCGCTAAGTCGGTGGAGAAGATGGTTGTGAAGCCGGGTCGTGGGCTTAAACGCCGGAAACGATTTGCTACAGCTGGGGAACGGGTCAAACAGCTAAAAACAATTCTACCAAATCAGTTAAATACGTTTCTGTCTGAATTAGAGAAAAAAATTAACAATAAACGTCATTTCTATTTTTGTGTCTTGTGAGTTTTTACTTTTTAGGTGCCTAAGCCTAGTAAATCAAATTATGACTTTTCGTGGGTGAGCCCCATATGGATGAAAATACCACTGTTTGAATGACTCGATCCGACTAAATCATGTTTTGAGGTGATTTGTTCAAAAACGTTGACGAAACATTACTACTTATGAAACGAAAAATAGCAATGGTCTTGCCGGATTTTCTCGCTGCTGCAGTGTTGGTGATGATTGCAAAAGAAATGCACGATTAGGCATGAACAATTGTTGTATAAGCCGCGCGAGGGGAATGTGACAAAATTCGCCCAATTAAACCGGATATTATTTGTTAGCTTATAAAGAAAGTAGTACAAACATCAATAATAATTATTGTATTTCTCCGTCTTACAAAAATAATTCATTTGAACTACTATATTATATTTTAGTTTAAAAAATATCAAATCAGTTTAAAACACTTTTTTCTTTTTTAAACCAAATCACCGCCATGAACATCTTAAAGTGGTGAAGTTGAAAAGGTGTTTTAATTTATATTCCCCTCACAAGACACATTTCTCTTTGGAACAAAAAAAAAAAAAATTCATTTCTTTTTGCACCACTTACTAGGATTTTGACATATAGCTCTTATAATTTCATCGAATAGTGTGGGTTTGCTCCTCAAACGATTATAATCGAAAGAAATTGGCAATACAATAAGAATGATAAGAAGGATCATTCAATCTACTTCTACACAAATATTCATACATATTACCTCTTTTTTTTTAATGAGGATTGCAATCATGGCATCGGATTGAATGAACTTAATCTTTTCCTCAAACCCGACATTCTGGATAAACGGCACTGCTAGCTCGTATGCTTCTTTATCTTTGTCAATTGCCAATGCCTGCCAACATTTCGCACAGATTCGAAATTATGGTTTTTGAGTAATTTTTGGACTAGTTTAAGTTACCTGGCTCTTCCCTTTTTCTTATGGTTATTGTACGTTGCTTTATATGTGTAACTAGTGCTTACTGTTCGTACGGATAGTGAAAAAAAGCCGGGGGGGGAGGGGTGATATACAGAAGTTAAAGAGGAAATTGAAAGAAATAAATAAAATAAAATAAATACATGTAGAGTCTAATTTAGAATATCTTACTATATTAAAAACAAAAATCACATTTAAGAGAAAGCACCATCATTTACCATGTGTCATTTTCGCATCATATTTTTAAAATAAATTTTTATTTTCACATCTCCTAGACTTAAAAGGTAAATGCAGTCCAAATCCACCTCCACCTCCTATTTTCCCTAAAAAAAAAACCATGGGTTCATAAAAAACCCAAATCCTCATCCCCATCTCTACCACAATAGAGTCCCTAATCAATCCCTTATCCACAATAAAAATTAAAAAAAAAATTCTCATCAATCATCAATTGAAAATATGTAGTAAAATATACTACATTCTAATTAGCATATTCAATCTTTTCATTAGTGATGATCAACTACATCCTAATCGGATAAAATTTCAACTTCAAAAAATATTTTCTTTACCTCTCTATATAAATACAAAGGAAAAAAAAAATTTCATTGATCTTGCTTCGGCCGTTGTGGTGGTGCAATTACAGGTATTAAAATTTAAATAATTTTATTTCCACAGATCATTTGTTTGGCTTTTATTATTTTCTGTTTTTCCCGTTCAAGAATAGTGTTATTACTATTATTTTTATGCGTCCATCCGTTACAGTTACCGTAGCCGTTGTCAGGTAATATGATGTGATTTCTTATATGGTTTGTTAGCTTAGAATTTTTGTATGATTTTAGTTCTGTTTGGATTGAATTTATTAATTGGGTTTTTGTTAGAAAATGTGATTTTTTAAATTTCTTTTTTATATTTCATTCAATTAGAGTGGTTTTCTTTTTTTAATTATGGAGTCTCGGTTTTTTTTTTTCGTATATGGTCAGTTATGAAGTGTGTTTTTTCTTTGTTTAATTGCTTTTGATTTTGTTTCATACTCCCAGTTGACCAATTATTATTATTATTATTATTATTATTATTATTATTATTATTATTATTATTATTATTATTATTATTATTATTATTATTATCATCATCATCATCATCATCATCATTATTATTATTAATATTTTATTTGCAAATGAAGCGCGTTATTTTTTTTTGTGGTCGGGCTTTCAAGAATATACTTTTTTGGATTTGATTTTTGGACTTTTTTTAGTTCCCCATCATATAAATAGTTCAGGTCGCTTCTTCGAATTAATTTATGGGGAAGTGTTTTATGAATTTGAGGCGGAGAGGGAAGGAATGATATTTCTACGTTTATTTGTGTTTTTATACAAATGAATTTTTTAATTTTTAATGGGCTATCTTTTAATTTCTTTTTTTTTCTTTATTTGCCATGGTGAGGTAAGTTCTTTTTTGCTATAACTTGAAACCTATGCAAATTTACATTATTTTCATTCTCATATTTGTGATCAACCAATTTCAACAATTAACCAGTTTCGAAATTATATTTTTGATATTTTACTACCTATAACTTTTGGAAGAAATAGATCCAACAATTAAGCGTATACCTTTGGGACGAAGCTTACTATAAAGCTATTATAAATCTCCAAAACTAAGTATTAATTTGGCACAACTAATGGAGAACATCAATAAATTATATTACTAATATTTAAACTTATTGGCATGCTTTCATATCTAGCATTTACTTTAAGACATATATTTGAGCAAGTTTATTTATATTTAAGAAGTAACACTTATAAAACATTTCTAAAATCTTCAAACATTTGTAAAATGTACTGGACTAAATACAGTTTTTTTATGCCAAATACAAACATTTCTATGATCACAGTTATAAAACATTTCTAAATTCTTCAAAAATTTCTAAAATATATCGGGTCAAATACAAAATATTTTTTTTTAAATACAAACATTTCTAAGATCTACAGATATATTGGGCCAGGGTTATGCATTGCGCGACTAGACATCACTAATATATATATATAGATATATATATATATATCAATTATATATATGGTGCTGCTAATTTTCCAAATCATCACAATCGATGACTAGTTTTGTGTTGCGTTTGAATACAAACTTGTAACTGTATTGACAATGCATATACTTTCAGCAATCTTAATGAAGTAATGTTTCTTTCAAAAAAAAAAAAAACTTTTTCTGTGAACGCTTCAAAAAAGAATCTATGGATTTTGTGCATGAGATTGTTTTAGAATATTACTGTAGCTTTATTCCGCTGATATACCTACAAAGAAACATGACGGTACTTATGAACTTACATCGTGCAAAAAAAAAAAAAGGTTAGGGTTTTATATACGAAATTGTCCTGATAGAATGGTGAGAACGAAATGTTTATGATCAAGACAATTTTGATGCATAAAAATTATTTCATTTTGATTAGTTTTTGAACTTACATCGTGCAAAAAAAAAAAAAATGTTGCAATGAGAAAAATGAAATAAAAGAGATCTTCAAAAACTAATCAAAATGAAATAATTTTTATGCATCAAAATTGTCTTGATCATAAACATTTCGTTCTCACCATTCTATCAGGACAATTTCGTATATAAAACCCTAACCTTCATGCACCCAACCTCGCATGAATTATCAACTTCATCCATATAATCAAATTTAGGCGCCTTGTTTACAACTACTATACAGAGATTGTGATTAGTTCATTTGAATTTCATGTCGCCTTTGGTTTTAAGAGGGTGAAATACCTGATTCGAACACAAATAGTTTTGAGGTCATAATATTCAAAATTAGGGCTGCTAACACGGACGGTTCAGTTCGATCCGAGTGAATTCGGTTCGGTTTAATCAGTTTTTTCATTTTACTTCACCTGCCCGAAACCGAACCAAATTATATATTGGACTGATCCGAACCGAACCAAATGAACAATCGGGTTTTCTGTTCTATGTCCGATTCAACCGAAACCAAAGGCCATGTTTGACAGAATTCTAACTGAATCCTTCAGTGACATTAAAAAAATTAGCAAAACACAAAATTTCAACAAAATGATGATTGAAACTTCAACATTCAACTCCACACCACAATCCACAAGTCCACTGGCAGTAGAAATTGCAGAATTACAGAAATCGGAATAGAATTGCATAATTTAGATGTCAATCTTCATTCAATTTGGCACTTGGCAGCTTAATTCAATTTTCAACTTCGGTCTTCAACTTGGCAAGAGACATCTTATTTTTGAATCTGCAAATTCAACCAAAAAAAAAAAAAAAAAAATTAACCAAAAAAAAAAAACTACAGATAAGCTTCACACTTAGCTAACCTAACTGATCACTTCATAAATAGATTTCAAGCTTTTTATGAATTATAAGGAAACCTTGAAAACAGGAAGATACAAACAAAAAGGGACAAACGATTAAAGTTTTCGTGAGATATATACCTAATCTTCAGCTTCTCTTTGAAATCCACTGATCCAAATCCATTACGATCATAACAATTTCTCTCTTCCTTTCTATTCTTTCTTCTTCTTTTTTCCAGATCGAGTGGTGGCCGCAGACGCGAAGTATCTTCAAAGCAGCAATACGGCGTCGTGTAGTCGTTAAACTTGGCCTTCCTCTCTATGTGAAAAAATTAATTAGATCTGGAAAGTGAAAACCATCTTTTTTTGGAGGAGAGATGGTCAGATTCGAGGAATTGGTGGATTGTGGATGTGGGAACTGGAAAGTGGGAGGTGGAGCTATGGAGGAGGTGTTGGGTGCAGGCGGAAGTGGGAACGGCGGCGTTGGGCTGATGAAGCAGAGAAAGAAAAGAACAGTACAAGAGGTGGGAAATAATAACCTAGAGTTGGACTGGAAATCTATTTATATGTAATTATAATATATTAAAAATATTAATATTAATTGTTCGGGTTTCGGGCGGTCCCCGAACTATTTTTCCCTCAACCACACCCGAACCGAAGAAGCTTTGCGGTTGATCGGGTGGAACCGCAATCTCCCGAATAACCGACCCGAATGTCCCGAAACGAAAACGGTGCGGGCGGTTCCTCGGGTTCACCCGACTTACTAACACCCCTATTCAAAATAGCTTTGGAGTTTGGACCATCAATATCCCAAACTTCAACATAATTTTTACTTGTAACGAAGAGAGTTAATAAATGATCCCGTGTCTTCAGTATTCATTAGTGTATTGATTTCATTTGGAAATAAATGAGTGCAGTGAATAAAGTAAGACTTTTCATAACTTAGTGACCATTTTTACATTTCACTCATTCAACAACTATACAAGGCCGATTCGCTATCATAGAAGTTAATCGATAAAAAATGTGATTACTATTTTGCTTTGTTGCATGTAATTTGTACAAGTTTTAGATATGACAAGATACTAGTTTTTTTTTATCTCACAAATAAAGTGATAAAACTGCCTTTTAACTTTTAGAGAATGAAAGTTTACAATCCCTCTTCATTTGTTTCTTCCTTGCAAAAAAATGTGCAATTCACATATGCATATAATTTATATAGAGACTTAGTACACAAATTGAAAATTTAGTCACTGTGAGTAAACGCTATTTTAGATTGCAACTATGTTAACTCAGTATGATATTTGCACAGTTATTATGTAAATTCTAGTTTATGAAAACAAACGTGATTGTAACATGGGTATTTTAATTTATAGGTATTTTGTGTTAAGACCTAAAATATTTGTAAACCAGTGGAAAGCCAAAAGTTGGGATTCAAATATCGTCAAGAGTAACCTACCCTCTTTCTTCATTAACTATTTCTATGATGATTTACCATTGAATTCCTAACCTGTTTCTGGTTCTGGTTAAAATCGCACTTTTTTGTAGCCAAAATCGGTGACCTGAACATACATACAACGATAAGGAGAAACTTCAAACCAAGTCTCCCTTTATTAAAGTAATAATGATACGTGTGGAACAAATTGAGGATATTTTGAAAGAAGAAAACATATTAGGATACGAAATCGCTTTAAATGGCTTCATGGCTTTACCTGTTTTTGTTTTTGTTTGTTAACGTGATAGAATATATGTAATTATAATCATATACTAATTCATTTACTTTTTGCCTGAAAAAAAAAATAATGTGGAAAGAATGTCGCGCACCTTGCTTGCAAGCTAAACGATCCACAATACCCAAACCTTTTTATCATTGATCTCAACCAAGTTAATGCCTCGGTCAAACCTTGTCTTTTAACTTTAAGGTGAATCAATTATAAGACGTGTTTCATTATCAATAATACAACTCTTAAAGAAGAAAGTGCGAGAGTTGAATTTATTGGAGCATGAAAAGTTTCAATCATACTCGTAAAGACGTAAACCATTTGCAACTTTTAGGACATCTGCTAAAAATTAGACGAGCTTTCAACTCTACCTTTTCCTTTCATTCCTTCTAGTTGCCAACACAATAATATTAAGAAAGTAAATAAAAATAAAAGGATGTCCTCTTCCAAGGTAATTATCCGGCTTTTGTTAAAACGAAACTTTCTCATTCCGTCGCTCTTGAATATTGAAAGAACAACTAAACCAAAAGTTTTTTTTCTTTTAAAAAAAAAAGAATTAAATGACTTATTAATCTTTCCAATTAAAAAATTAATATGAAAACTTGAATAAAGTTTCATGTCTATTTATCAATTTAATAATTGATTTTTAGGCTATAGTAATCTCGTAAATCTAATTTTATAAATTTTACATTTCTAAAATTGATTTATTTTTTGGAACAATTTACTCGATCAATATAATTTTAAAACTTTTATATTTAATCTAACACGATTGAGGTTAGCACTAGTATTTACTAAGGAGACTCGATCCGGGTCCTACTCTACATAATAAGTAAGGTCTACTTGATCAAAAAGTGAAAATTGACCCCGTTTTTCTTTTATTCCATGTTTGGGTTTGGCCGGTCGAATTATTGGATATACAATACATGGCATCGTCAATCTTATGTGGTATGGATTGTACATATGCAGATTAAAATCGGATGTGTGACTCAATTCCTTCCCTTCAATTCGAATAATTCACTCTGTTTTTAACCTACCATACTGTGCATTTTTTTGAACCACCTCGGCATATGATACATATGAAATGGAATTGCCGAATTGCTTTGAATCTCTATGTATCCTGTCTCTTGCTCGAATTTCTTCTGCTTACTTCACTTTCATGTTTGCTTAATCACTGGCTTCATCAACTTAATTACTTTGTTTAATGCGAAAAGAAATGCCGGGAGAATCAGTCTTACTCTTATCTTTGGGGAAAAAAAAGATAAAAAAAATAATACTAGCTACTCCTTCTGTTTTCTTTAAGTTGTTTTGATTTGTTTTATGTTTTATTTGTTTTGTTTTTTTCAATTAAAATTTTTTTTAAAAAAAGTTAAAAAGTATATTTAAAATTATTGTGTTCTCCTAATTATTATAAATTATTTTTAAAGTTTTATTTTCAATTTCAAAACATATAATAAATAAAATTTATGACAAATCAAAATAATTTATAATAAGGTCCAGAGAAAATATGGCAAATCAAATGAGATTGAATTCAGAATATAGTCGCTTCATATTATTATTTAAACTTTCAGTTTCTAGAAAACAAAAACATCCACCTAAGAAGGAAGCTCCCACTAGCACATGAAATAATAAATTAATCATTCCGAACAATAAATTCAATTATTACAAGCTCGAGTTGTAGTATTTAAAAAGCCAGTTATTGCATTTCTTGTCTCCTGTGACAAACTTTAATCCCTCCGTCTTAGGAGCTTCCAAGCTCGAGTTCTAAAAAGATTTGCTCCCAAAACATAATATTCTTACACTAAAAATTTCCAGCTCGTTGAATATGGAGATTAATGGTGATCAACAACATCCGAAGATTAACGGCAGTAACGGACATCTGGAAGTCCATGTTCCCATCCAAAGTCTTCCGACTTCAACACGGATGATTCCTCCAACCAATTTCCGAAAATATTTTCCACCACCTTGTTTTTTCCGAAAGGTATTGTTCTTTCCGGTCTTTATTATAAAACACTATGAATTATGCATACGTAATTTCATTTCCTTTTCTTTTTACCTTTTGTATATTCGCATGCATGAAACTCAAAAATAGCGGGGTTGTTCTTATTTACTACTATTTTTTGTTTAATTAGGTGATAGCGGAGGTTATAGCGACGTATCTGCTGGTGTTCGTGACATGCGGTTCCGCAGCTCTAAGCGCAAGTGATGAACGGAGGGTTTCGAAGCTCGGGGCGTCGGTGGCCGGAGGACTCGTCGTGACGGTGATGATATACGCCGTCGGGCATATTTCCGGTGCCCATATGAATCCAGCTGTCACCTTGGCTTTTGCCGCTGTCCGACACTTCCCGTGGAACCAGGTGATCCTGCTTCCTAGCTTCATTTAATTTCATACCTACTATATATTTGGATTTGGATTTCGGATCACCATGATTTTTCTTTCAAGGTCCTACTACTTCTTCAACTAATTACTTGCTTCTCTTGAATTTGATTGTGATGTGTAATAATAGCACAACTTCCAAGTGTTTGATTTGCATTAAAAAGAAATAGTGTGACGAAGGTTAAAATGCAACAATATTCCATTCGATACTAACGAATGATGAGTATATACAAACTGGCTCGGCATTTTCTAAAGAAGAAACAAGATAGTTGGTTTCTTGAAGATTTTCCGAGATAATCAACGTCAACTAGTTGTGGTTGGATGTAAGAATAAAATTAAAAATTGGGGGAGGAAATCAAGAATTAATTGGCCATAACATTATTTCGTAATTGAAATGTTCCACTAATCATAGTTTTATGAATATATCACCATCCAACATGATCATATGCTAATTAGGACTTACATATTTCTGTAATTATATATTTATTATATTTCAATTCCAAGTTTAATATTTCATGTTGCCTCCAGACAATTCATCCTTAACTGAGACCGCTTATTGAGATACGGGATTCCTAACTATTATTGTGTCAGTTAAAATATCATTTAAAATAATAAACAATAAATCAATCTGGGTCATCATAATTGTAATTATTATTACTCCCTTCGGTTCTTAATATAATATATTTTAATTTTTCTTAAATTTCATTTATCGGTTTTTTTCAATCTGGAATGGAACCTTAGAAAAGTTTTATAATAATTAGGAGAATACAATTTAAAAATATATTTTTAAGAATTTATTTTCAATTCAAAAATTACAATAAATAAAATTTAGGACAAATCAAAATACATTATACTTCCACCGTTTTAAAATTATTGTCCAATTTAATATTTTATTTTTAGTATTATTTGAACTAAAAATGAAAATCTATATTAGACAATAATTTCGGAAGCGGATGAGGAATTATAAAGACCTAGGGAGTATGATTTTCGGCTTCTTATCAGCCCCCAAGTTGGTGTATCATATTTCGAATTAATAATGAGAATGTTAACTGACAAACTAATCATGAATTTATAAAGCAATGATTGCTAAAAAAACGAACGGTATAATGGTGACGGCTTAATTCGTCAGTCTATGTCGTCAATTTTATCCTCTCTGAAGAATGCTAGTTACTTTCCACATTCATCAATGCCAACATGTATGGAGTTGATGTTGAATTCTTTTGTCTCATGTTCATAGTGGACTTTATAAATAAAGTGAACTATGTGAAAACAGAACGGAAGGATGAGTACTAAATAATACAGTTGTTATTCGTTTGGCATTGCTTACGTACGGCTAGGTAGTAAAAAATGGAGACATAAGAATTTTGAAAGTAGCTTGAATCATATAATGACAGATTACGTCTTTATTTTAAGTTATATAAGAAGCCTATTAGGCAAGCAAATTGCAATAAAATTTGACATGGATTAGAACAAACGCAGGTACCATTTTATGCAGCTGCACAATTAACAGGAGCAACTTCAGCTGCATTTACACTCCGAGTGTTGCTTCACCCAATCAAACACGTCGGCACCACATCGCCTTCTGGAACCTGTATTCAAGCTCTGGTCATGGAAATCGTCGTGACATTCTCTATGATGTTCGTCACCTCTGCAGTGGCCACAGATACAAAAGCCGTAAGAAAAATGGAATCACTAAATCACATAGTAGTTAGTACTAGATATTTCAGTGTCACACTTGTTATTCATTCCACAGATTGGGGAGCTTGCTGGTATTGCAGTTGGTTCTGCTGTCTGCATTACTTCAATCTTGGCAGGGTAAGTAGATGAAAACTGTAAATACTTTCAGCTCTTGATTTACTGAGCTTTACACTTCGCAGCTTGTGGCTAACAAGATTATCTTTATCATATCTTTAAAGACCAATTTCTGGAGGATCCATGAACCCGGCACGCACCATTGGCCCGGCTCTAGCTAGTGATTATTACAAGGGAATATGGGTCTACATAATTGGACCTGTATGCGGAACACTGCTGGGAGCATGGTCCTACAATTTCATACGAGTTACAGACAAACCTGCCCATGCAATAACTCAGTCGCTCTCATTCCACCTACGGCGAACTAAGAGCAACGAAGAGATACCAAACAAAGATCTTCCCAACCCTCTGTAATTCATACCTGTCATTCTGAACATTTCTTTTGTACAGCTGTTTACGCACTACTACTACTACTAGTTCAAAAGTTCAAAGCAAAAAAGAACCAACTCATGTTATGTCAAACTGAGTTACTTAAGATATATTAAGGTCATGTGGCAAATTTGGGACGAGAAATCGTCAGTACAAATCTAACCGCAAAGATGGAAGTATCTCATCATAAGCATAGCATCCTCAAGAGAAGGATGACGGATGCCTGTACCCCAAAAGCCCTTTTACCCAACTTTCAGTGCTACAAGATGAATACATCATAATTTACATGTACGACCATCTACAATAATCTAACTTAGGCAAAAAGAAACATCGATACATTAATTAAACAGGGACTGAAAACCTCAAGCAGCTTTTCCACACACCACAAAGCTTCCAGGGTTGATGGTGATACTCTTGGTGCAGTTGTCAGTTTTATAGATGCCAACAAGTCGATCAGCCAACTCGAACATGTTGTTTCTAAGGCTGTAATGTTGCATAAGGTGGAAGTTTAAAATAGCTCATGGACATTTAAGTATCTAACGTCAATCACAAGTGGACCTACACATACCTGATTATTATGAACTGGGCATCCTTTGTACGATCTTTCACATAATGCCCCACAATGGAGACGTTCTTAAAGTCTGTTCAAGTAGATTAGCCAACATGTTAAGAAAAAACAGAAAGTAACTATACAAAAAAGGAAATAATTTGCAACAGAAATCCAAGAAAACATACCCAAGGCGGCATCAATTTCATCCATCACATATAACGGAGTCGGTTTGTAGTGGTGGAGTGCGAAGACAAGTGCTAAGGAGCTTAGAGTCTAAAAAACATTTTCAGAGTATTATCAGACAACCAAAAGATACTGGAGGAGCTGAAGAGTTGCTAGATAATTACACAGTATCTATTCTAGAGAAAAAGGTAAAGGTCAGAAACACATTACCTTTTCACCTCCTGACAAGTTTGCAATGTTCTTCCAGCTCTTTTTAGGTGGTCTCACGCTGAAAACAACGCCTTCAGAGAAAGGATCCAAGGAGTCAACTAATTCAAGCTCTGCATCTCCACCAAGAGTAATCATCTGCAAAAACATTCTAGCCGATCAGTTCAAGATGACAGGACGAAAGGACATAAATAACAAGCTGAAGAAAAAACTAGGAAAAAGTATTTGCCACTATAACTGCTCAGAACTACTTGTGAGTATAATTTGCAACTACTGTGTATGGAAACCACATCGGAACCAAATTAACCCGTATGCTTCAGTATACCTGATACATCTCTTTGAGCTTCAATGATATAGTGTTGAAACCAGCCATGAAGTCATCCAATCTGATAAATGTAACAACTTTCAGGACGCCATCAACTATGTTATGTTTAGTCCAGTCCGTACACAATATTGTACATGATAAAAAAACGGCTTACCTTCTCTTCCTCCACTCATCGTGTTGTTTCTTAATCTCGTCTCGCTCTTGGGTAACTACATTGAGTTCTTCAACACGCTCGCTGTACAATGATGCTTTCCTCCGATACCTGGCACAGTGACATTCTTAGCACAAAACTTAAGAAAAAAATACAATCACATTTATAACTTCAATATCAGGAAGATAAATACTCAGAGATTGATTCAAGATTCGGGCTCATCTCTTTCAGCTGAGCTTCAAGGAGAGCCACTGTTTCAAGAGCTCGATTAAGATCACAAGCTGCCACGAGAGCTTCATCAGTCAGTACTGCTTGAAGCTTTTCAGGTTCCACCAAATCCAATTGAATCCTGGATAGAAACCAGAGGAAAATATTTAAAGAAAAAAATTGAAAAAATTAATAATAATAATAACAATAATAATAATACATGCATATACGCATAATGTATTCAGGGAGAGAAAGAGATCAACAACTAGATCAAAAGATTTGCTTACTGCTCCATGTGCTTGGCGAACGATGTTTGCAGGTCGTCAAGGCGTTTCTTATATCCTTTACCTTTTAGTTCCAGGTCTTTGTGAAGCTTTTTCATTTCTTGAAGCTTATATTCAACATCAACCTGAACCAGCAGTGGTCAATCATTACCAGTGTAATAAAAATGAATAGAATTTATGATACCAAAGACATGTCAGCATGATCAAACCTCTGATGCCCGCAACTCGTCAATTGTTTTCTTCATCTTTTCATAGTCAGATTTTGCTCCTTCCAGCACATCTTTGTGTTGATCAATTAACTGCATTATCAGTCAGAACTCATATCAGAAAGGAAATCTAACAAAGAAATTGAAACAAAAATAAGATTTGCACTGAATCAAAATGAACAACTAAAGCTTAACCTCCTGGGTTTTATTGTAATTTTCCTGGACAACAAATGCCTTCTGCTCCATCTCCTTGAAGGAAGCAAGCAATGACTGTTTCTCAACAAGGAGCCGTTCTTTCTCCTGCTTTGACTCTTCAATGCCTTTTGTAAGTTTTATCATCGTTTTTTGACCAGTTTCTATTTGTACTTTGCGGCGATTGATCTCTGTACTCTTGTTGTTAATGTTCTGTAAAATAAGCAGGATTCAATCAACAGAAATGCCCATTTGTTCTATCAGACTTTGACTTCTCACTTTGTGTACTTACAGTCTGAATTGCCTCAACTGTGGACTTTTGATTTTTCAGTTTTGCACCACCTGCATTCTCTATTTTGCTCTGAAGCTCTGCAGCCTACTCAATCACATAAAAAAGTTTGGAAGCAATAATTAAAATGCATTGTTTGGAAGTAATCTTTAGAATGCACCTTAGAAGGTAAAAACTGGAAACTCCTTAACAACTAAAGACTGAAAAACCTCATCACCTTCTCTTTCAGCTCTTTCGAACCTTGTGTAAGCCTATCCAGTTCTTTCTCCTCAGCAGAAATGATGGTCTCCAATTGTTTGAGTCTATCTACCTCATCTTTCTTGGGCTTGGATGCCAACTTTAGGGACTGCAGTTGCTTTTGCAGATCATCATGTTGTGATTTTAAACTCTCAACCTGGAATAAAAGTTGAGTTGATTCAGCAAACACCATAACAAGGACCATTTTACATAAACAATATAGACAGAGCTGTTACCTCCTTCTGACTTTTGGCCAACTCCATCTCCAAATGAGATATTGCTTTCTCTGAAGCCTGGTAATTCTTCACAGCATCAACAACTGTTTGACGTAATTTATTTAAACCATCAACTTGTATAGCAAGCTGCTGTTCAGCATCTGCAATTGCTTCAGGTGAGACACTGGCAGCTCGAATGGATGTTCCCATTTTGCCTCCACGAGGCTTACTTCCCCCACCAGTCATGGTACCAGATTTTTCAAACATAGTACCGTCGAGAGTTACAACGCGCCAAATCTCTTTGCCTCCCCCATATGCAATTCGCATTCCCTACAATTGCAAAGATAAATGAGGACTTTTCGTTTGTTACCACTTACCAATACTGATATGAAGGAGTGGGATCAATGAAAATAGCAGTTTTTTTTTTTTTTTTGAGCAGGTTAAACTTTTGTTGCCAGAGAAAAACTCTTACACCCTATCATAAAGTTGAAAAAGCTTATTTTTGAGGGAAAATGAACTCAATTTTACTTTCTACATGAAACTGGGGCAGACCTAGCAAACATACCTCAACACTTCTATAAACAGCAAGATGTTCCAAACTTTATATTCCCAGAGGCCAATTATCAAATACAAACAATCTGAGTTACCTGATCAATGGCTTTAGCGACAAGAGTGTTCCCCAATGCCGCAAAAAATGCTAGTTTCATTCTCTCATCTTGAACCTTCACCAAATCAAAAAGACGTGCAGCTCCCTCTGGTGTATTAACTTTCTCCTTCATTCTAGACAATTGATCAACTTGTTTCTCCTGAAATCAAGTAGCACAAAAGGTTACACCACTTCAGCACATCATCACAGCACCGCTGTCATCAATTTGTGTAGGGCAGGCCACTGCTCAATGCCACTGAAACAAAGATATTTAATTCCAGATGACAACGATAAGAAAAAAGCCCAATCAACCAAATCATTCTAAATGACACTCAAAGCGTAATTAAGAATTTTGATGTAAACGCATGTTCACCGGTGAAGTATATAAAAGAAATCAAGTGCCGACTAAGCCAATATGAAATTTAATATTAATCACAAAGTAGATTAATTTAAGAACGAAGAGCAGCTGATACATTAACTGCCAATTAATTTGAATAAGAAACTAACCAAAATCATGAAAGTTGCAACGCCAAGGTTCTGGTTACGAAGTAGATTGACACAAGCTTGTGCTGCTGCTGTTGTTTCCACTACGATATAATCAAGTCCAGAACATGCAGTTGATATTGCAACATCATATTTTGCTGCAAGGATATTTGCCAATGGAACCATTAAAATCTAATGTAAATTAAAAGTGTCAGCCTAATGAACTCTTGACAGTCCAGCAGACTGTGAACTTTTTCTAGTCACAAAACAACTTAACTAGTTTGACAGAAGGCTTTGCATCACGTATGGATGCATTTACAGTTACATAAAGTGGCCAAAAATTCTTTCATATGAAAAATCCAACATGATAGGAAACCGTGTTAATGTATAAATAGATTTCAGGAGAAAATCCACTTACCATCGATTGCCCCCAAATCTCCCATCCGACCATATATTCCTGGTATTGTATTTGATTCCTTAGCTTGCATTATTGCTTTTAAAACAGATCCCTGACTCTTTTCAGAATCTCTAACAGCTAAAAGCTCTGCAACCTTCTGCCTAGCAGCCTGTTCAAGAACTATTAATCTTTCCTGCTCTTCAACGCACCTCTGAAAATTTCAGATTGTCTTAGCATTAGCACTTAAATTAATACGGCCCATTAAAGGAACATAAGCAAAAGCAAAAGACATTACTTTCTCAGCTTCATGAGCCTCTAAGGCCTCAATCTTTTTCTTCTCTATCTCACTCTGGATTTCTTTAATAGATGTAGCTTTTGTCTCTACTCTTCTTTGTAGTTCTTGAATCTGTTCTTGGGCATCCTCATAGGCAGCCCGACCAGCCTCATGCTGAATTTCATAATGAATAAGACTTAGATGGGTTCGCCATCAAGCTATGGACAATACATGAAACATTATACCACAAACACCGAAGGTATACCTACATACACCAAAATTATTCTAAAACAAAATTCATCGAATGAAGTAAATCTTGCAGGGCTGCTCATACTAATGAGAAAATTAGCATGCCATTCAGTTAAATGGAAGTTAGCATTTAAAAAAAATAAAACAAACAAACAAAAAAAAAAAAAGGATATTGATTTGTGTTGGCTTTAACTTAGCACCTTGAGAAACCTACCTTTTCAATCAAAAGCTGGCGTTCAGTACATGCAACTTCAAGTTTTCCCTTATGTTCAATCAATTGATTCTCCCACGGTTGCAGTTCTGAGCGGACTTCAGCAAGCTCGTTACGGAACTCCTCAGTTTCAACTATTTATCAAAAAACCAACACGACAGAAGTTAAGGATAACATGGTGTAAAAGTTTGTTTACTTAAGACAATGATGCAAGGGGAATATCAGGAATAAAACACCACAAATAAAAGACCACACCTTTAGAGTTTTCCATAATTTCTTCCAGAATTTTCTCCTCTTCTACCAAAGTCTTCTGCAGCTTTGGTATCTCTGCCTCTAACTGTGGAATCAATTCAGTTGATTCATCTACATCTTTTGTAATATCAGTAACTTTAGTCGTGTCCTGCAGAATGGAGGTGCATATTAGAATTTTATAGTGGCCCGAATGCGTAACCCTTTCCCTACTCTAACAATACTACCTTCTCAAGTTTATTGTCTAGCTTTTTAATCTTTTCTTTCAAATGCTTCAGGTCTAAGCGATGTTTATCATCCTGCCTTTCAAATTCCTTGAACTCGGCTCTACATTGCCTAAGGTCCGTTTCAAGCTCCTGAATTTCCAAAGAAAAAGTCAGACAAGGAATGAACATGCTAAACCTTGTAGCTCTAAGTTTTTGCACACACAACTATATCCAACAAAAAAACATACCGTTAGAGATTATAGTTGTCAATAAGCTTCTTAACATATCGTAAAATATTTCCCTGACATGAATGAGTACAACTACGTGTATATGAGGATGGTAAAAGGAATTGCAGATATAAGGAACAAACCTCTTGTCTTTTCATGTATTTCACATGCAAAGCCTCAAGTTCCTTCAATGTTACATGGCTTTCCGTAATTTTAACCCTGCAAAGTGGTAATTCTGCTCTAGTCAGTGAGGCAAAAGGAGAAACTGCAGAAGTTCATAGTTCTGGAAGTCATTACCGTTCGGTGTTCAAATCTTCTTCCAGTGCAGTTACATTTTTCTGCAGATCCTCGACCTTATTAGAATTCTCTTCAGAAGCTAAGATAGTAGCTTTCTCTTGCCATTTTATCAGTGATAACTCCTTTAGCATGTAAGCTTCTGCTTCGTTTTTGACATCCTGATGTAATTGATGCAAAAACTTAAATAAATAACACAATAAGCAGATTAAAGAGAAAATTTATATAGAGCTTCTTATACCTCCAAACTATCCCTTTCTTTTTCAGCTAACTTCACCATTTGAACCACACTAGACCGTTTATCATTGAGGGCTTCCAACCTACAAATCAAATGAAGAATCAAAACAAAATGAAATAAACCAAAATCTGTTACAGAATGAAGAAAAACTGTAACAGGGGGAAAGTCCCATTCCAAGGCCAAATTTCAAATGAATTCCAAAGATAGAACATCTACTCTAGACCCTGAAAACAACTGTATGCAATCCAATTATTCCCAACTCACTGTTTCGATGATTCCTCAATCTTCTCAACATATTTATTTGTTCCAATTATGTCTTCAAGATATTCAAGAAAGCCTTCATCATGGGGCCCTTGTGCCTTTGGCTTCATTAGTGAAATCTGTTCAACCTCTCCCTAGAGAAAGAAAAGTACTCCAATCAAAGGCCACACAAATAGACTAGAAAGTTTCTGAAAAATACCCTGAAAAATATTGATCAGAAGCATCCAAACCTGAAGTATAAGGAAACGGTTGTTGTCCAAGTCCACTCCTTTTCCTTTGAGTTTCTTTGTGACTTCAGTGAAGTTACTGGCTCGGTCATTTATGTAATATTTGGATGAGTTGTCTCGGAAAGCAACGCGGCTGATAACAAAATCACTCCCAGGAATAGCTTCATACGTCCCATCATCCTAATTTAAGGTGGAAATGGTGAAAAACATAGATTAGATTTAATCTATTAAGCTAATCAAACCTTGTTTAAAAGGAGAAAATCATCGGTATACCAAATCAATAATCTCCTGAAAATGTACGGAAACACCCGCGCTATCCAAATTCTGGTGATTGGTCGAATTGTGAATGAGCTCGGACACTTTATTCAGCCGCATCTGCAAATATTAAAGAAGCCACAATCAACGAGAGACTGGAAAAAGTAGCAAACAGGTCTCATTTTGTTTTGCACTTAGTTCGTTAAACCCCAACTTAGCTAATTCAGGAAACTTTCTATTAACAGATAGACCTTTCAAATTTACATTAATAAAAAGTAAGTGCTTTGCAATTGACAAAAGGTTCCAACTTCCAAATCCAGTTCCAATTTTCAGCACAAAATGGTTAGTATCAGGCATTTTGACAGTTAATGGAACTGCAAAAGAGTTTAAGTCTAATCCAACTCGCCTGCTTGGCTCGCTTTCCAAACACGAAGAGCATAGCATCAATTACGTTGCTCTTGCCGCTACCATTGGGGCCAACCACCGCAGAGAAACTCTGGCTCGCAAAAAAACGCCAATTAAGGCACATAATCAGAATCTCCATCAGTTGAAACTGTAGAAATGACACCAAACAACAAAAATGGTAGGGATGAAAGGAAACCCTAACATTGTGAAAAGGGCCAACGCGTTGTTCGCCGGCGTACGATTTGAAATTCCGCATCACCATCTCTTTAATGAAAAGCCTTGGAAGTCTAGATCCAGTACCAGTTGGCGCGGAGCCGCCGGCGGTGAACTCGCCGTCGGGCGGCGAAGCTGATTCCATCTCTATATCTTCCGGCATTCTGGATACAGAGAAAAGAAGAGAGAAGGTGGGATAATAATTTAATTTCAAAAACTTCAAAACGAAGAGCGTCCCAGTCTATATGGAACCATCCCCAAAATATTTGGGCGGGAAAAATTCCCTTTTCGATAGTTGGACTTGGATACTGGGTTTGACTTAAATATGGAATATGGGCCTTATTTTGCTGAAACACGAAGCCCAGCCTTCTTGTACTGTCTATTTATTTTATGTTGTTTTATATTTTGAATTTACTTACAAAATCAATAAACCTATTTCAGTCTAATTCTCGCCTAAAATAGCCCAACAACCGAACTCGAAGCCGCCTGGTTGGTATTCGACGGCCCAGGTTACGGGCAATGAACCGATATCTAGTTGAATCATCATCATCCACTGGAGGACAGCTGATGGTGATAGACAGGGATGTTACCGAAAATCGTACTGCAGGTTTCAAAGTGTATCGAATGAATGTGGAGGATTACAAATGCGAGGAAATATTTGGCCTGGGAGGGGATTCCATATTTTTGGGGAACAATGCCGCATTTTGCATCCCGGCAAGGGAAGCAGGAAGGGGTGGGATCAAGAGTAATTGCGTATATTTTACCGGCCATATTGGACTTGGAAGTTACGGGAATGATGTGGGGATTTGTGATCTTATAGATGGATGTATAGAACGTTTCCATGGCGTAGTAGAAAAAAACCCCTTTAGGTACGTCTCCCAACTGATAGAATATATAAATACAGAAACTCTAATTAGGGTTTCCGATAATTACGGCTAGGGTTATTGTAATATTGTATTATATATATTATGTTGTACACATGTAATAAGACACAAAAAATATTCTTTCATGGTATCAACATTCTTTCCTGGTGTCTCAATTTTTTAGGGTTTCCGCCGTCAGCTTTCTTTTCTTTCTCTCTCTCTTGCCGGCATACACAAAATTCCGCCGAACCGCCGCAGCTCTAAATTCCATCGCCACCACCCAAAATCTCCCTTCTGCTGCTGCTGTTTATCATCCTGCTTCCGCCTGCTGCAATTCCTGCTTCAATTCGAACCCGCCGCAGCTTTCTTTTTTGCGGCTGCTTAAAACGGGATGTTTAAAACGGGAGTTGGGAGTAGAGAGTGGTGGAACCGAAGATAGTTGAGGAAACGGGAAAGAGGTTTTATCAAAAACAACATGACGGAAAGTATAAATTTTTTTGGAAGTAGGATCAAAACAACGGTAACCTTTATAAGACTCAGGATAACCAAGGAAGATACATGGAGTGGACCGAGGTTGGAGCTTATGAGAAGCTAAATGAGATAGATTAGGAAAGCAAGAACATCCAAAGACCCGCAAGACACCATAATTAGGTAGAGTACCAAAAAGAAGGGAGAAGGGAACAACATTTTCAAACTGTCAAACGTATTCTACGATATATTAAAGGCACACTTCATTATGGCATTCATCTTCGTGCTGGTCCTCTTGATCGCCTTGTTACTTATTCTGATGCTAATTGGCCCGGTGTCCTACTACTCGCCGTTCTACCACTAGTTTTTGTGTCTTCTTAGGCTCCTCTCTCATTTCTTGGTCCTCCAAGAAACAATCTACAGTTTCCAGATCTTCTGCTAAATCTGAATATCGCGCGGTTGCTTCTGCTTTGGCTGAAACGGTTTGGTTAGAGAATCTTCTGTCAGAACTTCATATCAAGCTTCCTCAGCGCCCAGTGATCTTGTGTGACAATGTCTCTGCTACATACCTAGCTGCCAATCCAGTTAATCATGCTCGAACCAAACATATTGGTCTAGACATTCATTTTATTCGTGAACGTGTCGCTGCTGGTCTTCTTCGAGTTCTTCATATCTCCACCCAGTCTCAACTAGCAGATCTGTTCACCAAATCCTTACCTAAGGATAAATTTTATTCATTTAGAACCAATCTGTGCATGATTTCCTCTCCTGGTCCGATTGCGGGGGGATGATAGAATATATAAATACGGAAACCCTAATTAGGATTTCCGATAATCACAGCTAGGGTTATTGTAATATTGTACTATATATATAATGTTGTACACATATAATAAGAGACGAAAAATATTCTTTCACCGACCTTTATTCCCTTGTCTTTTTGATTCAGAAGTCATAGGGGCCTTATAATACATTGACTACTGTACTTCATTTATGATAGATGCAGTCCGCATTACGCTATCAATTTCTTGTATTTTTCTCTCACATTTTGATTTTGAAGATGAACTCGGTTTGATCCTAGTAATGTGTAGTGAACCGATGAATACTTTAATTGATTGCCCGATTACAGAATATGCAACAGGATAATAGGTAGTTATGTATGATCAGAATATAGAGGATCTACATTAATTCAGGCACATATTTAACAATCAAACAGCTTCAACATAAAATGATAAATGCTAAAGACAAGTTTATAATGCATGATAATTAGTAGTTCTTCAACGACAAACTTGCGAAAAACCATACTCTGCGGCAGCAGAGCAAAACCACATAGATTAGAATACTACCCTTAGGAGGTAGCAGCCAGTTAACTAAATTAAGCAGCTTGATAGTTTATGTTCCACATTTCAGATTTCACAATACAACATGGATAGGAATTGTGCAATGTAAGCAGAAAAAAGACAAGATAATTAAAACAGTTTCATCAATTTGGTCTTAAAAAGAGGTCTAAATTGATTAAGGGCACTTGGGTCCTCCTTCTTTGGTCTTCCAGTTATCGTAGCAAGGGCAAACACCTTTGTTCCATAAAAGCCAGGGGGGAACACAGAGTAACTTGCTGCAGCATTTCTGCAGAAGAACAAGGACGGTTTGTGGTACTGCGTTTTGCTGCATCTCCTAGCGTATTGTGACAAGCATTCTGCTCATTATTGTGTCAAAATCAATCAAGAACTATGTCAAATTTTATGAGTCTTGAGACAGCCAAAATCAATGACTATCAAAAGCAAATCGTCATGAACATGAAGAATTTCACTGAATTCGGATTATCAGGTTTTTTCATTAGAGTCTAACTCAATTTCAGTTAGTCCTCAACTTGTAGTCCAACTTCAATTTTATCCTAATGTATTATAAGAGTGTCAATTTTATCCTGATATATTATAATTTGGCCTATTTCATCCTTTCATTATCTAAAAAGAAAATTCTGGCCATTAACTTGGTAAACTATTACCGGAAAATATATTTTATTATTTTTTAACTTCAGGACTAAATTGACAGTTAATTTTTTGCTAATTTTATTAATGGACTAAATTTTATATAAATTAGTTAGTTATGTGGAGCAAATTTTAATTTTCTACTGGCTTAAATAAGTAATTAATTTTATAATTGTTTGATTAACTAAACTTATTAGTTATTACTCCCTCCATTTCTTTTCAATAGGCTCACTTCCCCTTTTGGAATATTTCAAAACTTTAGTCCCACTTCAGACAATTAATTAACTTTTTCTATAAATTCTCTAATATACCCTTCCCACTTTTACTGAAATCAAGAACATTTAATTAACTTCAACTATTACTCTCTCATATCAAGTAATAACTCACTAGTCATTAATAAGGGTGTAGTAGGAATTTTATTTAAAATTAATTACATAAACTACATCATCCATTTTTTCTTAATCTCCGTGTATGTCTAAATGGGCCTATTGAATTGGAATGAAGGAAGTAACATATACCGTCATGGGTATTAGTAAATTTATGTATGACCGCTCTTTTTTTTTGGGCATGTCTTAAACACTGTATCACCCAAACTATAATTTTCCTGTCCCCTCTCTCTCTCTCAATTTGTGTCACTCATCATCAAACATTACCTCTAAATTCTCATGTTTTTTTTTCTCCATGCCATAACTTATTAAACTAGTAGTAAAAATTTAAGTTTATTAACTACTACCTCCGTTTTTTTAGACTAATGATATTGCCAGAGAAAAAATTAACCGCCAAAACAAATTATGACTAATCTTCCTAATTTACCCTTAGTTAGCCATTCCTAATTTTACTCCCTTCCTCTTTCCCATGCATTGTTTTAATGGAAACCACCATGTTCTACCAGAAAATCACCATCCCATCTCAAACAGTGTTTTCTTTTTTGGTGCGCCACCTCTCTGTTCCCATCCCCCATCAATCTTCCAAATTTTCAAGACTTTCACAGCGCTGTTTCATCCTTGTTTCTGATCTAGCTATCAGACTTAAAATTTAATGCGTTTTGCCCAATCTTGTATATTGTTTCTTGTTTGTATTTATAGCAATCAAAAGCTACCCCTACAAGTTTAGTAAACATCTCAAAAATACAAATTAAATTGCATGTTTATTATATAAAACTTAGTATTCTTCAAATTTGCAGTATAATTACTCTTTGTGGATATTGCTTTCTAATTTTCGTCGTCTTTATTAATGTGGGTTTGAATTTCGGTTGCCACTGAAGTTTACTTTTCTACCTTAATTTGACTATGGTTATGAGGTTTGTCTCACACTTTGATGGTAAGAGGATTGTTGAATATTGGCTTGTTAAATTATGTTGTCTTAATTTAGATTTTGATAGGACAGATTCAAACAAAAGATTCAATTTCTCTTATTGATTTGGTGGATAGATACCATGATAAAAAATTGATAATAATCGGGAATGTAGACGATGATGCATGAAAAAAATTGTTTGAGGTGGTGTGATGGTTGAAACAGTTGCAAGAAAGGAGGAGGAGGAGTAAAACTGCAAATTGACTAAATAAGGGTAAGTTGGAAAGTTTTGTCAATATTTGCTGTGGCGGCTAATTTTTGTGCTGGTAATATCATCAGCCTTTTTTTTATTTGTCGTTTTTGTGTTTGCACAACTATTAAGAAAATAATGATTAGAATTTACTCTCTCCATTCCAAAATAAGTGTCGTCCTACACTTTGCACATAGTTTAAGAAACTTTTAAATAGGGTAATAAAATTACTTGAATATCCTCAACCAACCCCATTATAAAATTGTCCACCAATAGTATCAACTCTTTTGAGGGTAATTTTGGAAACTTCTGACAAAATGTGCATTGAAATGTGAGAACAACACTTATTTTGGAATTTCTCTATTTTGCTAAAACGACACTTATTTTGGAATGGAGGGAGTAATTTATAAGGGTATTGTCTTTCTTGCCCCTAATTAAAAGTATTGGAGATCTAAAAAATTTAAAATTGAAGTTAAAGAGTAGGTAGTTGTCATTAATATACTCACTCCGTCCCATAATTATTGTCCAGTTTTACTAAAATGAAAGATTTTATTTTTGGTCAAACTTAACTATATTTTACCTTAAAGAACCGGATATACCCATACACAAGTAATTGTTTAACCACTAAGATTTTATGGACAATGTTTTTTACTATAGACAAATGTGTAACTTGGTCCATAAAAAGTCAAATTGGACAATAATTTTGGGACAAAATTTTTTGGACAAAGTGGACAATAATTATGGGATGGAGGGAGTATGTTATTAAACTAGAGAGAAATAAGGATAAAATTAGAAAAATTGTATTTAATGTTGCATTGGATATGAAGTGCGACAGATAAAAAACACTTTGGGTTCACCCTAAAACGACAGATAAAAAAAAACGGAGGTAGTATATCAGTAAAAATTTAAGTTAATTAATTGTGTCAGGAAATTTTAAAATAATAAAATATATTTTCCTATGATTTTTGACCAAGTCAATGACGTGAATTTGCTAATTGGATGATCAAAGGATGAAATTGGCCGATTTATAATAATACATCAACATTAAATTGGCTAATACATTATAAAATTGAAGTCCGGCTACAATTTAAGGGCTAATTTGACCTCTTTTTTTTTTTTTTTCATATTTCCGTCCTACTTAAGCATTTGTATTCAAAAATTCACCTTCCTGTTTCTTGCCTAAAATTGGAACGCCAGAATGGATTGGTCGGCCCTAATACCGGATCTACTGGTGGAGATAGACGCAAGCACGACTTCCATTGAAGATTTCTTGGCGTTTAGAGGCGTTTGTGCTTCCTGCCGAGCCGCCGCCGCCACCAAGGACAAATCCGTTCCTTCATGATCGAGAGTTCCACTACTCATGCTGGCAGAAAAAACAGAGGAAAACCGCCGCCAGGATCGCGAGTGTTACAGCATAACGAAACAGAAGATTTGCTGCAGATTATCACTCCCAGAAGCCAAGGGTAAACGATGCATCGGAGTCAGATTCGGATGGTTCTAACTCTCACGAATACCGGATACGTGGGTTTGTTCCCCAGTTTTCCGGCCTACGTTTATCGAGGTAAATCAGGCAAGATTGATCCAATTACTTATTTCATGACGAAAGCTGCACTGTCAGATGATCCATCCACATCGTCAGATTATGTAGTAATGGTGAATCTAAATTTTTCATTAGGCTTCTGGAGGCCTGGAGATTCGGCCTGGAACCCGGTAGAATCGGGTACGAGCCATGGTTTTAGACGTGAATTACTACAACGGGAAGTTTTACGCAATCGGTCCTTCTGGAAAACTATGGATTTATGATCACAATAGCCCAACACCCGAACTCAAGGTCAGCCGCCCAGATTACCGGCATTGTGTACACCGATATCTAGTTGAATCATCGTCATCCACTGGACGACATTTAATGGTGATACACCGGGAAGTCGCCGACAATCGTACTGCAGGTTTCAAAGTGTATCGATTGAATGTGGAGGATTACAAATGCGAGGAAATATTTGGCCTTGGAGGGGATTCCATATTTTTTTTTGGGGGGCGATGCTGCATTTTGCCCCGGAAAGGGAAGCGGAAAGATGTGGGATCAAGAGTAATTGTATATATTTTACGGGCTATGTTGGAATTGGAGTTGGAGGCAGGAATGATATTGGGATTTATGATCTTATAGATGGACGTATAGAACGATTCTATGGCGTAGTAGAAAGAGACCCCTTTAGTTACGTCTGCCAACCTTTATGGATTTCCATTCAAAAGCTATAAGCCTGTTATACATTGACAGAGGTATGCACTTACATTTGCTGCAGTCCGCATTACACTATCAATTTCTTATATTTTTCGCTCACATTTTGATTTTGAAGATGAAATCGGTTTGATCCTAGTAATGTGTAGTGAACTGAGAAATACTTTAATTGATTGCCCGATTACAGAAGGCTTCTGTACGCAACAGGATGATAGCTAGTTATGTATGATCAGAATAGAGAGGACCTACATTAATTCAGGCACACATTTAACAATCAAACAGCTTCAACATAATTAAAACGATAAAATGCGTAATAATTAGTAGTTCTTCTGCGACAAACATCATCAAATAACACACGCTCTGCGGCAGCAGAGCAGAACCACATAGATTATGATACTAGTCTTAAGAGGTAACAGCTAGTTATCAAACTAAATAAGCAGCTTAACAGTTTCTGTTCCACATTCCACATTCCAAAATACAACATGGATAGGAATTGTGCGATATAAGTAGAAAAGACAAGATAATTAGAACAGTTTCATCAATTCTTGGTCTTAAAAGGGGGCCTAAATTGATTAAATTAAGGGCACTTGGGTCCTCCTTCTTTGGTCTTCCAGTTATTGTAGCAAGGGCAAACACCTTTGTTGCCATAAAAGCCAGGGGGAACACAGAGGCACTTGCTGCAGCATTTCTGGCAGAAGAACATGCAAGGCTTGTGGTACTGCGTTTTGCTGCATCTCCTCGCGCATTGTGACGGGCATTCTGTTAATTATTGTCAAATCAACCAAGAATTCTGTCATACTTATGAGTTTATGAAGGACCAAGTAACAATTTTCTGGTTTTTTCAACAGAGTCATAACCAACAAGAAATCAGCTTCAGTGAGAAATGATGAATAAGTTGCAAGGAGGAATTACTTACGGGAACTCTTGAGACTTCCAGGGCCATAGTTCTGAAATCGAAAAAGACAAGAGTAAGATGAGCAGATAAATCATAAATGTGAGTGGACCATAGTGAAAAAAACCATGGTGAAAAAAAATGAAACAAAAAAAGAGGAATAATGAGCAGAATGCAGACCCCTTTGTGATGATGCCCTCCTTTAGATGCCAACACCTACAAATTGCAACATTTGGAGCAGAAACATGGTGTTAGAACACCTCATTCCAGATGGATATTACGGCATTTTCATGAACAATTGAAAAGTGGAAGAAGAAGACTCACCAATGCAGTTTCTTGAAGCACAGTGATGGCCAGGAGTGCCAAGAGCATCAAAGCAAGGAATTTCGCCATTATATCTTTCCTTTTTCAAAGCCTTTCCAATAACAAAAAAAAGCCCTCTTTCCAACTTATAAAAGGAAAAAATTGCAGTTAGAGAGATAAGATTATGGATCAATCAGATAAGCTAGAAAGGGGTTGTTGTTTGCTAGAAAGCCTAGAACGTAGTTTGCCATCTGCCATGCGAGGTGCTCAAAATAAATAGAGGACAGTTTTCTCTAGCTGATAGAGGTGGTTGGGGCCCTTTTTTGTGTTTGGGCTTGGTCAAGATTTTCAGAAGGATAGGGACCCACTAGTCTTAGCATTAAACTTTCCGCCAGTCTTTAGTTTTTTTTTTTTTTGTTTTTGAAACGCCAGTCTTTAGTAGAGTTGAATAGTTGATGACTTGATGATGGTAAATTGGTGATGTAACAGAGACTCTGTGAGACTTGAGGTATGGCATAGACAACCAATTCACATGTGAAATTATGAGCAATTGCCATTTGCTTTGCTCATTTCACTTTCATGGTTTTACATACTTTTAGTACTACACATTTGAAGCATAATTGGGAAGCTGATTTGTAAATTGTTGAGGAAACTGGCTGAAAATCTTGACATTAGATCTGTAAAGCTTTCTCTAATGGCATTTCCCTCCAACTATATATGGATGCATGTGTAGCAACAATGTAAGTGTCTTCAACAAATTTTGGTTAAGGATACTTTTAAAACAGTGTTCATATATATATATATATATATTATATATTTAGACTCATTTCTACTAGTCTATTTTGTGGAACCGGACAAGCGTCAAAAGGACTACTAAAATGAGATATAAAAGTGAGCATAGAAATGCCATTTTGGATGCTGAGATAGACAAGAAACATCCTCCCTCGAGCAATCCAGAAATATCTAGTGAAAAAGTGAACCACGATTGGGTGTTACAGTCTTTTGAGACAGATTGTGATGAAAAAAGGTTGCAAAAGCCCAATGGCCAAAAATTCAGAGAACCCATGACGACTTGAGTTGACTAAAGTGGGGGGGGGGGGGGGGGAAAGTAAAGCAAAAAAAAGCAAGCAAGTTCCAGTTGCCTGAAAATTTTTGCATACTTTCCCAAGCGCATGACCAGAAGAAGTAGTGATGCGGAGGGAAAAAGTGCACACCGCCGTAAGCTGTAGGTAGCCATCCCACAAGGGGAATGACCCCTCCTTTTACAACTTGAAGATTATTTAAAAAACAACAATCATTTTGGGACGATAAAGATTTTTTTATTCGGCGTTAGCCGGAAATTCTATGTCCGTTAGCCTGTTCTAGCAGTACAACAACTGAACAGAATTTTAATCTGTGGAATGATAAGAGAGAATTTGTTTTCACAAATGCAAGTGGATTCCAAGTATGCCATATAGCTATATTGATAGTCTCTTTAGTCATAGACACATATAAGGTTTTATTGAGCTAGTACCGCAAGCAACAATAATCAGTACTATAGGTTTTTTTAATCAATAACGGTATCGAAAAAAAGAGTTGTTTTTGTATTTCTGGTGGATATGGACCATATAGGGGTAGATTGGTGCTGCTGTGAGGTCATAATTAGGACAATGCATGTGATGTGGGAGCAGGCAACAACCTTGATACAGTTTATGAAACCATCATTATTGTACTCAAAGTCAGATAACATCGCAATCAACATTCTTCTTTTTCCCCTCTCGGTGAAAAATTAAGGTCTTGTTTGTACGTCAACTTACAGTTCATTTTGCCATTTAAAAATAGAAAGTATTTTAAATTAAAAACTAAATGGGAAATAAAAATATTGTTTGGATGTTGGTTTTGAAAAAAAGTATTTTGAACTACATTTTAAAATATCAAGTACAAGTCATCACTAAACAATTAAATACTGTCAATTATAATCACTACAAAAAAGAATTTTTCAAAAAACAATCACTCAATAACGAAATCCTGCTAAATTTGTTACTGAACTATTTGTAGTTCTAAAATGGTCATTACACTAACAAAAAAATTTTCAAGTTAGAATTTAAAATGTAAATTAGAAAGTTGTTTGGATGATATTTTCTTTTTTATTGAATTTTGTGTTTAAATGGTAAAATGAGTTGACAAACAAACAAGACTAAAATCTTCAGATTCCAAAATTATTGAAGTCCCTCATACAATTGGGGGGTTTTCTTTTTTTTTTTTTAACCTCGGTTTATCTCATGTTCCCTTTCTAGTTTCGTCCCAAAATGATTGCCCTAATACGACCAAAAAGTAAATGATTTTGGGACGAGGGAATAAGGAGCAACAGATATGAAAGGTTTTTCTTTTGCCTCAATAGGCAGGAAGCATTTATACCACGACATGCACGTAGATCTGCTGATACCCAAAACATTTATGACATCACATGCTCCTTATCATGATACCCTGCAATATATTCTGCATCTGTATCTTACTATCACAATGATCAATATTATCATTCATTCCTGTGGAAAACGAGCTTAGCTTCATTTCATTTCAATGGTTGCATATTACACATATAGAGAGAGACATGGAAAAGGGAACTACACAGAATTACAGATTGTGGCAATATAAACATGAGGTGATACTTTTGCTGTCAACGATAAAAGTTTTACTTAACAATCGTACCCAAACATTTACTCCCTTTGTCCCACCAAAATAGTTTAAATTGTAATTGTGAACCGTATTATTAATGTGGATTATTATCATTATTTTCTATTTGGGTGGAATGAGTTCTGTCTTAGCAAACAATGAAACCAAAAGGATTATTTCATACAGTAAGTGTATTTCATTTTTTAGTACAGCAATACACCCATTATATTGGAAAATATCATGATCTTTCTAATTTTGTGGTAACTTTTCCAGTAAAATTACAATCTTGCCCTATTTATGTGTCTGGCTGCACAATCCTACGTGGTACAGTATGTAAGATTTTATCTGAAACCAATTGCATAGTAATAGCATTACCAAATTTTCCAAGGACAAAACAACTCTATGCCTAGATCCTGGGTTAGGTTAAACCATCTTGCGCAGAGATATTTATGTGTAACAAAGTACGTTATTCACCTGATAGAAAAGTGTTTACACATGAAAAAAAACATTACGGGATATACAAAAAGTTAAGGTAGAATTTAAAGAAAGGCTTGCAAGTTCTACATCCTCACTCCCCTCCTGAGTCCTGAGTCCTGATTGGTGTATGAAAGCCCAAATGATGTATTTCATTTTGTAATGGGCTCACTGTCGCTTGCTTGGACTTTTGGGCTACTTTTGGCAAACTCGGCTGTTTATGATTGTCGTTTTTATTCAATTTCGGAGGTTAAAAACAGATTTGTCACCCCTACGGAAAACCAAGGTGCAATGTACAATGATCAATCAGTGATATGAGTATTACAAATAATAATAATAATAATAATAATCAGCAATATTCTCTATGTCTCAAAATATATTTTTAAATTCGAGATTTCACTTTTAGTACAATTTAAACTAAAAATAAAATTCAAACTGTACAATAATTTCGGGAGGGAGGAAATATGAGAAACGCTTTTATAAAGGTTGTCTTCTTATCACTCAATAGTTTCATTTTAATTATCCTTTTATATTATTGACGGTGTTATAACTTTAAGTAAACGTAGATAAATAGCAATAAGAGGGGTGTTTTGACTTGTCCAATTTAGAAATTCACGGATTGAATGAATTAAAGTTATTTAACTTGTTGCCATTTACACTTTTTTTTTCTTACAAAATGGAACAAATCTTATTTCTTCTAGGATATTTTGAAATAAGTGTATTATTAATTTGTCCAGAAATAAGAGTATTACTTACCATCTTAAAATAGTTTACTGAATAAAACTCATATTATTCAGACACAGACGTAGACTTAACAACGTAAAAATGAAAAGCAGGCATTAGGGAATGTTTCAAAAACTATAACGACGAACAAAACTATTTTGCACAAAACAAATGCAAGTAAAAATTGTGTTAAGTGTAAACGTTCAAAACTTGTTTGTCCCTAGTACCAACTAACAACCCAAATACCAATAATGAAGGTATAGAAGAAGCATGTTACCAAGAAATGGGAGGGTTATGGGCTTCCCTCCCTCTTTATTCTCTTTCTTAACTCATCTTTTCTCGTTTCAAAAAATTGTGAACTTCTTTTTAATTCTACATACTAGTAGTACTATTTAGTCCACAAGCTGTATGAATACAGTTATAAATCCCCCAAAACTTCATAAATTTCGCATCTTTATATGTTCACGTCCATGACTAACCGGTTTGGAATTCACCTTACTTGTTAAATATTTTATTTCACACTATAAGCATGATCGACGATGTGAAATGTAACAAGATTTACTATTCATCACCTTCAACGGTTCATAGTCTTCTTCACTAACAATCTAAATGTTTTTAGTGTAATGTCGTACTAATCAAAATTATAGTTAGTAAATATCATGATTTTCATTTCCAAATTCGTCACTGCAGATATGTTTGAAAGTCAATTGGGGCCAATGAGAGGGTAGCCTAATGGTAGAGACCCTAGCATCTAATCGTGAGATCGCGGGTTCAAATCTTCACGGCAGCGATTTATCGCTTCTCAGCGTTTCTGCAGGATAGGAAGCAGCAGTCGAAGGAGGCTCGTTTAGAGGTCTAGGCACTTATAAAAAAAAAATAAATAGTGGAGATTTTTTTTTTTTTTTTTTAAAAAAAAGTCAGTTGGGGAGGATTTGCATAAACTTGGAATTGTTAAAGATCCACTTGCAAGTTTTGTCATACTACTAGTGGACCCATCCTTTCCAATATTAGCAATCGATAAGTAATTGATTGTGGATACAAAGTTACAAACACCATTAATCGCGTACTTGTATGTGTACAGTTCAGGAAACTCCCCTTGCAAGTTGTACCCAATAAATGATGTTAAGATCTCATTCTCATCATTAAGCATCATGATTCACCGGACAATAATCCAGTCATCTATGATGAAATCTCATTACAAATTTTTTTCGTATTTTTAAATTTACAACACCTCTTTCTTTATGTACAAAGTATTGAATTGAAGTAATACGTCCTTCAAAACTGGGAGTATTTCTCTAACAAAAGAAATAAAATTAGGTTAGTCTTCATTTTCAAGTTAAATTAGCCGAACGGCCGTAAGTATTCATCAAACGGGGAAAGAAAAGACTGATGAGATGAATTAATTAATAATAGTGCCAGGCTTTCACATGATTTGTTGTTACATGGTCAATTATCAAATCCCATATCAATTTTTATGCAAGGTCATGTCACTTTCAAGTTTCAACAACTCTATGTTATTAGTGCAGTAAAAGTGTTACACTGTCAGATTTAGAGGGTGGAGGAAAAGATCCAACAAAACTAATAAAATACTTGAAATTATTCATTCTGTTTCAAAATTATTATCCAGTTTAAAATTTCACTTTTAGTATAATTTGAACTAGAAATGAAAACTAAAACTGGACAATAATTATGTGACATAGATTAATTATTAAAAAACACAGCAATATCTTCTTTTTTTTTTTGTTTAAATGTTTTGACAGCTAATCTAATCAAAATGTTTTAATACGGGTTTGACAACGTAATCTAATCTGATCGAAAAGAGCATCGTACTCATACGTGGCAGCAGGAACATGATACAGTAAATGTTAAGACGGCCCACGTGTCAGACCCTAAACTCGCTTTTTAACATACGTGGCATGATTCTGAGGGCACTTTACGATGATTAATTATGGTTTACTACTTAAACCACTCAATTTTCATGCAACTCCAAGACACAACAAAAACCATTACGCACGCAAAGGTACAAAAAGTGTAAATTCAAAACAAGAAAAATTAAAAAAATAGAAATTCAGACATTGGATGGGCTGTACCGTACCCAGTGGAAGAAGAAGAAGAAGCATTGCTACGAGTCTACGACGAAGACGTTCTAGAAAAAGGACAAAAATTTTCAGGCTTTGTTTGTTAGTTATTTTTGATGATTTTTTTAAAATATTTAAATAATAAGTGTCTCATTCCAATATAACTTTTTATATTTTCAATACATTTTTTTATATTTCTAACATAAAAAATATTTAAAAACACACACTAAAAAAACAAAACAAACATACCCTCAACGTCTCCAAAATTCTGTCAGAAATACCACAAAATCTTTATACAATCGATTTTAAAAAAAATTCTTTAAGAAGAGGAAAACACACACACACAGCGACCTTGGGTTGTTGTCCTTCTTGACAAAAATGATGGACTCGTTTGCGCGCATGTGATAAGATTATGGTACTACTACTACTACTACATCAATCCAACATCACTTCAAATGCTTTTCTTATGCATGGTATTGAGTACTTGAGTACTTGAGTTTGAGTTTATTAATCTTGTTTCGTTGTTATGAACGTTTTTAATGTATTTTCCCCACAATCATCGAACACATTAACGAAGTGTACGAGAATAAGCAAGTCGTTCAATCATTTTTACTTTTATGATAATTACTAGAAGAATGTTGATTTTTTTCTAAGAAGGCAATCTAGTACTCCTTCCGTCTTAAAATTATTTTCCAGTATAATTATGGGACGGAGGGAGGGAGTACTTTCAATTAACATCTTGAATTTTAGTACATATTTAAGATTCGGTTTGAATTTCTGACTCTTTAGCAGCTCGAACAATGTGAAATGATATCGTTCAAACTTCAAAGAATTCCTTATACAGCTATATCTCCTTAATTTGTGCCGATCCCTGAAGAAAGTGAAGATGAATAATACCCAAAAATTGCAATAGGAGTAGGGGTAAAACGATGCTCCAAGAGGGTTAAAACTCAAAACTCAGGGAGGGGGGGCCTGGTCTTTGTACTTTCTGGGCTCCCCCCCTTTGACAAATTTAGGTGGGTTGCAGTAAATGCAGCAGAACTGCAGGGTTTGGTTTCAGTCTTTACCTATTCATTGATCAAAAGTAAACACAAAAATCAGACAAAGGATTTCTTGAAATTCACAAATACTACCTCTCCCGCACTCAATTACGCTAGTATTACACACACCACGGAGGCATGGACCTATGATCCTTACCTCTTAGTAGCAGCAGCAGTAGTAAAAATCTCTGTCGCCTTATTAATCCATCAATAATTGATCTCCCAGGTCACGCGTAATCTTAATACTTATTCCTAATTTTCATTTCAAAGTTTGTACTCCCTCCGTCCCATAATTATTGTCCAATTTGAGTTTTCATTTTTAGTTAAAATTGTATTAAAAGTGAAATCTCAAACTGGACAATAATTTTGGGACAGAGGGAGTGTATGTTTCCGTTTTCATTAATTTGCAATTCAACTGAAAACAACCATAGAATTGGGTGGGGATCGAGACTTCTTTTGAACAGCATAAATGATTACAACTGGATTATAACGCGGAGGACCTTAAAAAAGTTGATTAAGGTGGCTAATAAATGCTATACATATAATCACACATTCTTTGAAATTGCAAGTCATAACTAGCTTTCAAGATCTTATGTGAATTGCATCAAGACAACACTTTTTTTTTTTTTTGGTTTAATTAATTAAGATGCATAAGAATTGACTTGTCCAAGTGGTTTAGCTCATTTGTTATGTTCACGCATTTTGCATTGTTGACATTTACAACTCAATTTCATTTAGTATCATCACATTCATAACCCTAGCCATTATCAATTATTAGGTGCCAACTATTGCCATAGAGCATAATCCAGCCAAGATTACAGAAAAAAAAGGTCAAAATTTATAGATATTATTATCCTTACAAAGATTGTTGTTATCATTTTTTTTCAACCATATTTCTTCTTATATTAATAGGAGCTTATAATTATAAATCAATTGGAAAATAAAATAACCTGTTTTTGTGTAAAATAAAAAAATTAGTCATGCATATTCTTTTCCATAAATAATCTTCTGGCCAGCTCTATGAATGTTGAAATTTGACGTAAGGACTGAGGACCCAGAAAGACGATTCAATCGTACGGTCTTAGAAGGGGATCATTTCATAAAGCCTAAAATACCGAGTCAATAATTAGGAGTTAGGACCATAGAATTGGTTCAGAACTCAATTATTCATCACTACCTTCTTTTCTTTTCTTTTTTCCTTTTTCCTTCCCTCCCCCTTATAGAAGAAATTCATTAGCCACAAATAGTAGTATCCCTTTCTACAAAGCAATGCCTTATTTTACAATTAAAACAAATAAAATCTCGTATAATACGTGAAGTAAACATATACCATTTTCACACTAACTTCTAAAATTTGTGACAACATATTACGACATTTTAGGATTAGGTTCCTTAACATTGGACACAAATTGATAATACCGTTTTCAAAATATAATTTTATTTATTGTCATTAAAATTAAAAGAGTGAACCTCAAAACAAGTCATCAACCTTTAATATATTTCCACTCTAGATCATCAATTAAATTTATTTGTAACACAGGTTACCTTACTAAAGTTTTAATCTATTTCAGATTATTCTGTTAATTTTGGCAGTTAAATAGTAACGGAAATCCATTTTTCACATGCTTTTGGATTCAGGAGTATTTTTGTCATTTTATTATTTTTTTATTTTTTGATCTTTTAATTTTTTTTTTACAATTCTTCTTCTTATACTTCCTCACTTGTATAAACTGGTAGTATAATTCTAAATTTTAAAAATTTATTTTCCTTTTGTATTTTAACTTCTAGATTATAAATTTTTTTTAAAAAATTTAAGAAATGAAGAAGAAAAATTCGAGTTAAAGTAAACATGAAAATTAATAATTTACCATTTTAAACAAAAAGAAAAACTAAAAGGATTAGCTAAGACAAGTTGTTTCTTCTAGGTTATTTAATTTTTTTCAACTCGATTGAATTATTTAATTATTAATTTTCATGTTTCTTATTTCTTTTCTTTTTTTTAATAATCTAGAAGTTAAGATACAAATGAAAAAAAATTCATTTTTGAAAATTAATTTTTCATTTATATATTAACTTGTAGATTATTAAAAAAAAATGAATAAGAAACGTGAAAATTAATAATTAAATAATTCAATCGAGTTGAAAAAAATTAAATAACCTAGAAGAAACAACTTGTCTTAGCTAGTTATTTTAATTTTTCTTTTTTTTAAATGGTAAATTATTAATGTTTATGTTTACTTTAACTCGAATTTTTCTTCCTCATTTCTTAAATTTTTTTTATAAAAATTTTGTAATGTAGAAGTTAAAATACAAAAGGAAATTTTTTTTAAAAAAATTTAGAATTACACTACCAGTATATACAAGTTAAGAAGTATAAGAAGAAGAATTGAAAAAAAAATTAAAAGATTAAAAAAATAATAATAAAAATGACAAAAATACCCCTGAACAAAAAATATGTGAAAAATGGATTTCCGTCACTATTTGACGGCCAAAATTAACAGAATAATCTGAAATAAATTAAAACTTTAGTAAGGTAAACTGTGTTACAAATAAATTTAATTGATAATTTAGAGTGAAAATATATTAAAGGTTGATGACTTATTTTGAGGTTCACTCAAATTAAAAATACAACATTGATTCTCATTTTGGAAGCAAGAGTACGAATGAAGAGTTTAGTGGTGGTGGTGGTTGGAGTAGAAGTTTGCAAAATGATACGTAATTTTTGTTGAGAAATATGTATAATCCAAAAAGTCATTAATTACTGAAGGTGAAATAACAGTAGAGGAGGGAGGATAAGAGTAATAATTACATCTGGCAGAGCATTCAATTGAAAGAGAACCACCCCAAATTAACCAGTGGTAACCAAAATGTAAGACACTGGTCACAGTGTGCTTTGCAAAAAAAAAAAAAAGAAAAGTTAAACCAAAAAAAGGATTAGATTTCAGAAACCCTTTTGTTTGGGAGGTTAAAAGAAACAAGTGGTTAAGAAGGCACGTCCACAAAACCAATGAGGGAGAGATTTTTATTTATCTACGGTCTCATCACCCCAAAACACCAAAAACTCCATCCAACCATCAATCCATCATCATCATCATCATTTCATCAAACCCATAACTAAAAGGCCTTTTTTTCCCAAACCAAAAACACACACACACACACACACACAAAGTCACCCTACTGTACTGTATGTTAATTTGCAAAGCTCCCCCCCACCTCCTGCCTCCTTTTTTTCCTCTTCCCATGGATGATAAAGATGCATCTTTTCTCTTCAAAACCCTAACCCTTTTTTCTAATCATCAAATCTTAGTCTTAACCCAATAAACCTCTAGAAAAAAGTTAGTGAGAGATAGAGAAAGAAAAAAATAAGGAAAAGCCAGAATAGTAATACTACTGTAATACTTCCATTTTTTCTTTCCTCTTCAGCAACTGCTATACTCTTTTTTTTTTTTTCCTTTACATGTTTCAGAAATGGAATTAACCACCAACGCCACCACCACTACCACCACCGTTACGGCGTCTGTTAAAACCCCGGAAGCTGAGAGCGAAAACCCTTCTTCCCGGATCCAGCCAGCTAAGCTTCCGAGCTTTTCCAACGGAGTTCTGAAGCGCCTCCAGCCCATCCACCACCACTACAACCATGGAGGAGGAGGATTCAACAGCCACCACCACGGCGGCCACCTCCCGGTGGTTGTTACTTACAAGGAATGCTTGAAGAACCACGCCGCCAGCTTAGGCGGCCACGCGGTGGACGGATGCGGCGAGTTTATGCCTTCTCCGACCGCAACCCCCGCCGACCCGACTTCTCTTAAATGTGCTGCTTGTGGGTGTCACCGGAATTTCCATCGCCGGGAGCCGGATGAGCTGATTCAGCCACCGAACACGACGGCAGCTCTTGAGTACCAGCCTCACCACCGCCACCATCCTCCTCCTCCGGCGGCAGCTACTCCAGCTCACCGTAACAGCGGCGGACACAGCAGCCCAAGCTCGCCGTCTCCTCCGCCGATCTCGTCTTCGTATTACCCCTCTGCTCCCCACATGCTGCTGGCACTCAGTGCCGGATTATCAGGTCCGCCGGCGGAGACCAACATACCAATAACCCCCACCTCTACCACCGGAGCTGGTGTCTTGGCGAATTCAAATGGGCGGAAGAGATTCAGGACGAAATTCACCCAAGATCAGAAGGAGAGAATGCACGAGTTCGCGGAAAGAGTTGGGTGGAAGATACAGAAGAGAGACGAGGAGCTGATCGGTGAATTCTGCAACGAAATTGGGGTCGATAAAGGGGTTCTCAAAGTCTGGATGCATAACAACAAGAATAACTTCGGCAATAAAAGGGATCAATCTCATCACAATAGCAGCGCCCCCGGCACCGCTGCAACCGCCCTCTCCCCTGCCTCCGCCGCCACCGCCACCGCCACGACTCCGGACAACTGTAACGGTAACGGTAACGGTAACGGGCTGGAGTTCACCATCCACTACCACCACAATAATAGTAGTAACAATAATCATGATATCAACAACATTGACAGCAAAAACGGCATCCACCCGCACGAATTGAGTCATCAAATTCAACATCGTGACGGGGTTGCTGTTACCACTAACGGGTCGTCCTCTTCTTCTTGATCTGTTCTTGCTCCTGGTGATTTAGACTTTGAGGAATGGATGAATAAGAAATTTTTAGTTTTAGCTGATGAGATTAGATGAGAGAGAACTGGTACTATTTAGTTAATTACTGCTTAATTAGTTTTTTTTTGTTTTAATTTCTTTTCTCTTCCCCAATCTCAAATTATGTTCTTTGTTAATTAGGTAATGCATGATTAGTGATCCAAGAATGATAAGGGATATTTGTTCAATGCCGAATTATCATTTTATCCCTTCTCATTTTTATGATTCTTTCTTCATTTCCCACTAGTGATTATTTGGTTCCAAATGCAATTTGGCCTGCATAGATGTCATTAGTTCATGGGTTTTGTTCAAAATTTTATTGCTTTATGGCGCTTGGATTATCTGTTCTTGGGTAAATCTGTGGTGGAGCTGTGTTTCTGCACTAGTGTTTATGGTACTAGTACTAATCTGAGGTGAGCAGGATAAAGTACACCACCAGCCACCCTTAAAATTCCATTTTATCTCAGAATTTGTTGTTCGAAATTATTGTCTCGATTAATCCAGATGGAACCAAATTCATTTCTTTTTATGTTAAAAACTATATGCAATTTGCTTGTAGTAATGACATTTGATTCCCCCCTATATCTGCTGCAAAAGTATGGAGCAGTCCGGTTTTGAGTAGCAGAAAGTGGCTTATTAAGCAAAAACTAGGCAACTTTTTTTTTATGGTTCCTCTGTAATTTACTCATAATATTCTGTCAAACTTTATTCTTGTTTGATCTATCTGTTCAACCAAATGGTAGCTGGATCAAATTGATTATGAATCAATTTAGTTCTTGTTTGGTTGTTGCAAATTCGGATGATGATATGTATTCTTCCGCTAGCTTTTTGATCTTTTCTTCTTTAATAAAGAAAACAACCAAGAAGAATAATCTTATCTTTACATCCGTATCTCAGAACAAGTATTTTTTCTGGTGGATAATAACAATAATTTGAAAAAAAATTGAAAAATAATTTCGTGACGAATTATTAGACATCTTTTAGCTAGTACTAATTTTGGAGGGTCAGACAGTTAAGTTAGAATTATGTCGTGATTAGAAAATGTCGGGATTTTCATTTTCTTATCCAGGAGTGGTTTGATTTAATTTATTTTTATGTGGTTGAAAAAGGGTCTGTTTTTGGTTGCCGCAAATCTAAACTTAGGTGGGAAAGAATCACACCTTAATAATTGTTAATTATTGACAATCTCTTTCTGGCTAACCTTAAACTTAACCTTGAAGTACTAATTTATTAGGATATAAACTCAACTAGATCTGTCCTGTAATAGGTGGGATTGCTTAAAGGGAACCTTAAACATGATGTGTGTTTTTGGACTTTTGTGAGCATAATGTTGGGTGGGAGTTTTGATTAGTTTAAATTAGAATAAAGGGGAACTTTCCATTAGTGTTGGATTGTGTTTTTGTGCTTAAACAACAACGACAATCAAACCCATCTTATGTATGTGTTTACTTTCCTTTTAAGGGAAGCCCACTTCTTAATCTGGTACTAATTGTTTTACTTTAATTAAAATAATTTTTAGATGACGAAAGCGTCCTGCCTTTTTATTTTGTCTTCGTGGGGGGGGTGGGAGGGGGGCGGGGGATGGTTTGAGGTTTATGGTCATTGGTGAAGTCATTTTAATCTTGTTTTCTCGAAAAGCGCACCCCCTCCATATTTTTTTAAAATATTATATTTTCTCCACATATATCAAGATTCAAACAAACCAACTACTAACTCTAAAGATAGAGATAAGTTCAAGGTGTTTTTTAATTATTATATTTAACTTAAACTAAATGATAATGTAAAATGGAAAAAAAGAATAGAAGAATTCAAAGATAATTTTTCTAAAAAGAGCAGCCATCGTTATCAACATTAATTCGTGGTCCTCCTGCCTTATGTAATACTACCAACAAGATTATCAATAAATAATGGTAATAACGAAAATAATTTTTAAACCTTTTTTCAGCCATGTAAAATCTGTAATCTTTTTTTTTTTTCTTCTTCTTCTTCATTTTGTTTTTTTCTCAAATTCTTTAAGGGTTGTCGGCTTAGGATCAATGATTGTTTAGAGAATGAATAATTTATTCTTACGCCCAAAAAATAAGTACGGTTGTTTGAACCAAATAAATACATCAAATTAAGTTCTTGTTTTAGGATAGAGGTGTACATAGACAATGATAAGACTAATAACAATTCGTCGTAATTCGGTGATTAGGGTTAGCAATTTATTCGAGAAATGTTAAAGGCATTTTTATTCTTCATTTCCATTGGTATTCTAAACTTCTTATTTCTTTTTTTTTTTTTTTAAAAAAAAAAGCCTTTTCTGTTGTTAATAGCTTAAACAATGACATTTCACTTGTAGTATGCTGTAATCTGTCTCCATATTTGCTGCCAGTTAAACTACACCTCCCGCGGCATGCTCCAGATCTCAAACGTTGAGACATACAATATCCGTACATTTTAATAATTCACTTTCTCGAATTATTTAATTTAATAAGTCGAATTATAAAAATGTATTTACAGAAGGAATGAGATTTTCGATTTCCATTTAAAAATATTTATTTTTGTCGAAATTTAACATTAGATCGTGTGATTTTTACAATGTTACTAAACGTTTCTATTTTACTCGACTCCATCTACTTCTTGATCGATCCATCCATAAAAAAATTTGTATTGGTATGAAAGGACATATTAGAAAAAATCAGATCAATCAAATCTTCAAAATGATAATGAAGAAAAAATTGGTAAAATGAACAACCCTTTTAATAAATTGGACAGAGGGAGTACTATTAATTTTTGGTGCTGCCCGTTGGATCTCAGGAGACGTTGACGGGCGATATTGTGTTTGGTAGACAGAATCATAATTAGCTAGCGAGTTGTCATCGGAGGTGATAACGATATGAGAATCAGGCGGACCAAACATAACGGTATAACTCGAAAGGATTAAAAACAACCCAACCCCAATATTCATAATTAATTTCCTACTTCAATTACACAATTACTACTTTTTTATTCTTTTTTTTCTCCTCATCACAATTACTACTCACGAATGAATGAATGAATTGATCTATGAAAGAAGGGAGAAACGACGCGATCAATGGTAGTGTGTTAATTATATATGTCTCTCTCTCGCAATCATCATGAATGTGGTAGGGTGCGTTGTCCTTTCGAACGGGATGATTTGGGTGAAAGAATGTCAATCCTTCTTGTTGGGTTCGGTTTTCCAATCCATTTATTAAGTTTAACTGTTTAAGTAGTAGATTTTGATTTCGTATTGTTAAATTTTACAATTCTTTTGTACGTGCACAGGCATTAAAAATGGCACGAGAGAGAGAGAGAGACTACACCATATGGCGAATTCTTCAGACAAAATGCAAAGTTAGTCAACACATGATACTATAGGGATGATTTAAAATAATTTTTTTAATAAAAAAATAAAAATAGAGACGTGTTTTAACATTTTGAATCTTTAATTTCTTTGAATAGAAAAACGATCATCTGATCTCAACTCCCAAGTGCGAGCATTTGTAGTACTCCCTCCGTTCCATAATTATTGTCCAATTTGAGTTTTCATTTTTAGTTTAAGTTGTACTAAAAGTGAAATTTTAAACTGGACAATAATTTTGGGACAGGAAAATACTACTTAAATTAATTCACAAATTTTGATCGAAAGAAGGAAAAGTAAATAGATGAAACACAAATAATTATTCCATGCGGAGAGATAAAATTCCAAAGATAGAAAGTTGGAAGCTGAGTAAGTGAGTTGAAGAGGACCACTTGGGCAAGTCGGGCCGGCCCATCCTTGCTAAATATGAGCTTTGCACTTTATTGCTCTCCCTCGGCATCCGCGGTCCCCGCCGCTGCAATATAACCTTCTCTCTTTTCTTTTCTTTTTTTTTTTTTTGGTTGCAATATAACCCCATCTTTTCTTGCAATTTGATCGACACACTAGGGCTGCATGGCATTTTACTTTAGACGAATATTAATTATCGGCAATAGTAATCAATACCCTAAGACTGATATTCCATCTGTCTCAAAATTATTGTCCAGTTTTAGATTTCACTTTTCGTACAATTTGAACTAAAAATAAAAATCTAAATTGGACAATAATTATGGGACGGAAGGAATATTAAATTGAAGTCATTTAACTGGATGTAAAATACTAATAGTTAGTCAAATGATTCTAATTTAGTTTATGCTAATATGAGATTGAAATACCCGATTACAGTGAAAGATGGATAAATTCGTTACATTCAATCATAAAGCCTTCACATCAGAGCATCCTTTCTTTTCCGTCTTAGAAAAAAAACTATAAAGAACAGGAATGTATTCGCTTCAAGACAGTTTTGATAGATACATGGACCTTTTTGGTGGTGGACTCAAATTTGTACATTGGGTAGAAGTTTCCAGAGAGGAATATAGTATCTCAACTTCAATAAGACTTTTAACTACCCAAATACTATAATTTCTCTTAAATGAAAGTTTTCCTTTTTCCCTTTAAACTAATTCGAGCAATAAAACAACATTCAAAGTGTGAGGGAGACTATTGATATCCGTTGGTATGAGGCCATTAATAATTTGGTAACCTCATCCAAGACAGTGGTCCAATTGAAAAATTTTCTCAAAGATTTTCAAGATCTGGGAAAGCAACTCCACATCGCTAAAAACATACATACCAGCTAAGGTTAGTAGGAATCGCATTGTCCCACGCCATTTAACCCACAAAGCCCACTAGCTTAAGAGTATTGACACCAAGTAAGACTCGAAATATTAGCAGAAAATCAACAAACAAACAATTAAACAACATACGTGGGGAGTGTAATTTTGCAACCGATTTTTTTACTTCACCGACAGAAGGGAATCTGGATGGTTTGTTACGTTTGGATTCGCCTCCTTCAGGATTAGTTGATTGATTTTATCACAACGTGGTCGGGATTAGCTATTCCCGTCGTATTGTTGTATAACATATTAACATAGAAGCAACATAAATCTTCTTTTGCACCAAAAAAAAAGAAAAAGAAAAAGAAGAAGAGCTATGTACCTTATTATTATTGATCTGTTTTAGTATTAATATCGCACTCAAAACATTTTTAAAGCATGTGAAATATTTAGGTCGAAATTAAAGTAATATGTACGCATGCATGTGTTGAAAAGTTTAAAACATGATCAAAAGTCTTAATGTTTGTCGAGCCCAAATAGGAAGTACGTAGCAGAAATGATAGATCTCTTTTTAACGTAATTGCTCACATGTGATGTTGGTTGCTGGATACATCATACACGATTTAATTATTATCAATTCCTAATTTCCCAAGTGGTATACATTCGTAAATTAAAGTACATTTCAATGCAATTTTATTTTATTTTATTTTTGGTGTTTTAATCTTCTGTAGTTGCTACATGATTCATTGGGGCGTTGAGAGTAATTATATTTTCTTATCCTCGCACAATCGGGTGGTGCAGATTTAATTTATCAGAAATGACAAATTAGGATTCATGGCGGAAAGGGGAAAATCCAAATTAATAAAATAAAGTTTTGTCCTAACTTTCGAAAAATGCCATATTATTTTTGACTTTTATACATGCATGGATTTACTTTAATTAACATTTTATTTCCTTATTGATGAAAATTGAAATCATATATGTGTACGCGTGGTCGTATTTGAATTGTGGAATGATTCTGAAAATATTAATTTAATTTTCTAGTCTCATCATAGAATAGAACTGGGAGAATAACTTTATTGCAATTTTTCTTGCGGCTACTCGGTGGGAGTGTCAGTTGAGATTATAACCCATTGAAATAAATTGTTTGATAATTGTGAGCAGACGAGCTGGAGTAGCTCAGTCGGTTAGAGCGTATGGCTGTTAACCATAAGGTCGGAGGTTCGACCCCTCCCTCTAGCGTTTTTTTTTTTTTCCTTTTTACTTTTGATTTGTCCCAT